AGCACAGCACACACTAACACACCACCACCACGTCAGTATTACTGCAGTGCTGAGAATGATCCACCACCCAAATAGTACCTGCTCTGTGAGGGTCCATGGGGGTCCTGACCACTGAAGAACAGGGTAAAATGGGGCTAACAAAGTATGCAGAGAAAAGGAAGTTGTGTGCACTTCTTTTTGCTTCAATAAATGAGCACCTGGTGTACCCAACTGTTTTACTGAACCCTTGATAGTGTTTGATTTAACGATCGGTCAGCATTACTTTTTAACAAGACTTATATTTGACTGTCAGATCATGTAAATGCCTTGATTTAGCCCAACATCCAAACAACTGTGTTTAGTCAGGATGCCCGTAGCATATAAAACAAGAGTCAGCGATTGGTTAGAGGCTCTATTGCATTTTGCAATCCTAAGTTATATCAGTATTGCACAACTTTATGATGGAAAAAAATTCTGCCTCAATAAACTGGCTGTAAAAATTGCAATATTATCAATATTTTCACTAATACTGACAACAGCGGCTGATATTATCAGCCAAGCGATATACCAGTCAGGCTGGTATGGTGTCTTTGTTCATGGACAGTCAAACCTGTATGGTTTCATGGACACTGCTGCTCTGCAACTGTTGTACAGTTGAAGCTGGACTTGTAGTGGCTCAAAGTGCTTGATTTGTCTAAGACTGACAAGTTATTTATAAATGTACAATCTGAACAATAACTGTGGATTTCTCTCTTGAACTTCTTACTCCTAATGATCACACATTTGTAGTCATGCCACCATGGCTCACTGTGTTCTCCACTCCTGCTGGTTCGCTCCACTGAAGCGTCTGGAACACAATTGCCCTGCTTTCACTGACAGCTCCTCTGATATGATTTGCACTTGCTTGACCTGGTCAAAAGCCTGCTATGACCTGCGGTGACAGGCCCAGTTTTACATCAGACCTGCGCATTGAGGTCAGGCATGTAGACTGAGCTGTGAAGTCAAACTGAATCTCCCTTTCAAGGCGCTGCCCATCAAGTCTCATTAGTTCTGGTGGTCAACAAACAGGAATATAACTCTAATGTGACGGTATACAGTGTGTTGTCTGATCTCTGCTAAGATCCATCCACACATTTAAAGACACATCATTACATATGGACCTACAATGACCCCATACACTATTTAGGCACTTTAAGCTTTTTAAGCAGTAATAAACTTTAGGTTACATCATAAAATGTTTAAAAAAAATGAAATTTGTTTCAGAGAAAAACACTTTTAGTGCAACAGACTGATGGTCGACTCTTTGTGTGGAGAAAGCCTGAAGAAGATCTCCAACTAGACTGCACTAAAAACACAGAGGTGAAAACGTCAGAGCTTGGGGCTGTTTTGCTTATAAAGAGGGCCATTCCAAAAGCTTCAGCTTGCATTTCAGAAAGTAGCTCATGGGGCTTTTCAGCTTTTCATAAAGTAGCTCAAAGGGGATTTTGAGGTATGTTTTGGATCATTGTCCTGTTGTAGAAGCCAGCCTCTTTTAACAATTATAATAATAATAATAATAATAATTTTTATTTATATAGCACTTTTCATGCCAGTGGCAGCTCATAGTGCTTTACAGACAGGTGATAAAACATACTAGAAATCATGAGTATTTATTTAGAATTAGAAGAAAATGAAACAGATCAAATTGGAAGATAAAAACCACGAGATGTAGAGTTTTAATTAAATGCTAATTTAAAGAGATCCGTTTTTAGATGCTTCTTAAAAGTGAGCCCTGAGCTTGACTGTCTAATAAAAGGTGAACTGAGCTCCACAGTTTAGAAGCAGAATAACTGAAAGAGTCTCTCCATGTTTTCTGTATTTTACTGAGGGTATTTGTAGAAGGTCAGTATCTGCAGATCTTGGGTTCCATGCTGGAACATAAACAGACAGACACTTTGTGATGTAAGCGGTGCTTTAAGGTCATTTAGAGTCTTAAAGACTAGAGCAGAGCTTTAAAGTCTATCCTGAACGATACAGGCAGCCAGTGCAGCTCTTTTAAAGCAGGACTGATCTGATCTCTCTGTGTTTTTGTTAGGATGCTGCTGCGTTTTGTCCGAGTTGTAAAGGATGTATTGTTTTCTTAGGAAGTCCAGTAAGAAGATCATTACAGTGATCAACTCTGCTGTAACAAATGCATGAACAAGTTTCTCTGCGTCGCTCTGAGAGAGAAAAGGCAGATCTTTAGTGATGTTTCTCAAATGATAAGCTGCTTTAGTGACCGTGTTTACATGCAGACAAAACAGAGCTCAGAGTCTGAGATCACACCCAGGTTTCTTACTGCAGGTTTGGTATACGAAGCTAAAGTTTCTCATAAATCATTTTTCTCTGAGTTTCTGTATCAACAATCAGTATTTCAGTTTTTTCACGATTTAATTGTAGAACATTTTGCGACATCCACCGAGAAATACCTGACACAGCCGGTCAGTCTGTCTACAGAGTCTTCATCTTCTGAAGGAATAGAAATGTATAATTGGGTGTCGTCAGCATAGCTATGAAAATTGAAGTTATGGTTCCTAATGACATCACCTAGAGGTAGCGTGTACAAGAGAGCAAAGGCCCTAAGACTGAACCTTGAGGGACTCCACAAGAAATGGCAAATCTTTTTGATAAATGATTTCCAAGTGAAACGATGAACTGCCTATTACTTAAATATGACTTAAACCGTTCTAAAACTGTGCCCAAGAGACCGACCCAGCATTCAAGACACTGGATTAAAATCTTGTGGTCAACAGTATCATAAGCTGCACTAAGATCTAAAAACCAGCTCCAGCTTCTTGACTGACTCATATTTGCTTCTATATTTTGCTGATAGTGGAATCCAGTCTTTCATCTACCTGTGTAGAGTTACCTGTGCCATTGGTGGCCACACAACCCCAAAGGATAATAGAACCACTCCTAGCTTAACAGTTTGCAAGGTGTTCTTTTCATCAAATGCTGCTCCTTTTTTCCCCCCACACAAACATAGCTTTGCTGATTGTGGCTAAACAGTTTTTTTTTATTTCATCAGTTAACAAAACTTGTTTACTAAAAGCCTCTGGTTTATCTAGATGTTGTTTATGCAAAGTAAATAAAGTAACCGTGCCCATAAAATTTGCAAATGTTATTGCTCATACAGATTTATATAGATTTGCAGATTTACTTCTTTCCACTTTAATAATCAAAATATGCAATTTTGCGTGGGGCCCCAGACTTTTGCATAACAGTGTATAGTGCCCTCCAGAATTATTGCCATCTTTTATTATAGATTAGCAAAGATGGCTATAAGTGTCTTTTGTTTTAGTCATCTTGATCTTACATTTAACTAATTTCACCTCACTAAAATTTCTCATATATTTTTCAGTGAAAGACAGAGATGTGGACAAAATACTGCACTTATTGCTGCATATTTGTGATGGCAAAACATGTTGATTAATCAGTATTATGAAACAGCCTGCACTATTTTAACCAGAATAATTTATGTGTGGGTGACATTAGTACTTTGAATTATTCACTGAAACACTTTGTGGTTGGTCAGGATGCTCACAGTAAACAACTTTGGTGATATCAGTATTATAAAGTCCAGTATTGCAATTATGATTAACAAAAATACATCGCAAAACCCTGATGTAAGATCACACTGGTACAAAAACTACAAAGACCGTTTTTCATGCCCTTTCTCTCTCATTTTTATGAAGAGTGCAAGGAATTTTGAAGGGCACTGTAACCCTAGATTTGGGACGTTATCCCATTATCAGGGAAGTATATTCCTGTATACCGTATCACATACACCATACTGTGCTTAGGTTATGAGTTATATCATATTTTGCCTCTACAACGTTTTACCTGCCACAATGACAGCGGAGGCAGAAATAAGTCGACTACCTCGCGCTGTGGTCAGTAATAAAGAGCATGGGTGTATTCAGTGGCTCAGAATTGCCTGGCATGACTGTAGATAATTAGTATTTAATGGCAGCACTTAACCTCAACCTTGTGTGGGTTGCGAGACACTCAGTTACACCTACTATGTATAAAATACTCTATACCTCATAATCCTCAGATGAACATGAATGAACACTGGGGATTTTGCCACATGGGATGTAGCATAACACAAACATTTGTTTTATTGGTTATTATTACATCTCTGGATTACTTTTTATCCTCTCTAATGTTTCCATTCGAGAACTCTCTGATTGTTCCATCTGAAGATGTAAGAAGTCTCGGTCTGATTCTGGATGGCCAGTTACCGTTCACAGCTTATATCGTGAACCTGACTCGGTCCTGCAGGTTTCTCCTGTACAAAATTTGGAGGATCCGATCCTTCCTCACTCGAGAGGCCACCCAGGTGCTCATTCAGTCTTTTGTCATCTCAAGGCTTGACTACTGCAACTCGCTCTTGGCTGGTCTTCCTATGCGGCCATCAAGCCTCTGCAACTCATCCAGAATGCAGCAGCTCGGCTCGTCTTCAATTTTCGTAAGTTCAGCCACGTCTCTCCACTGCTGGGCTCCCTTCACTGGCTTCCTGTAACTGCATCAGATTTAAAACCCTACAAAGCCAAAAATGGACCAGCCCCTCCCTCCCTGATGGCAGTGGTCAAAACTTGAACTGTGCCTCAAGCTTCAAGTACAGCTCAGCTCAACCCGCCATCCTTCAAGACGTGTGGAAGACGAGCATCAAGACTTTTCTCTGTCCTGGAGTCCAGGTGGTGGAACGAACTCCCACTGGCTGTCTGAACAGCAGAGTCTCTCGCTGTCTTCAAACGCAGACTGAAGACCGTCTCTTTATACAGCACTTAAATGAGCACTGAGTTCTTTCTCTGGGTATCAACATGGGGTTTTGTTTCTAGCGGTATCTGAGCTCAGGACTGGCTTTCTCTCTAACCTGTTTGTAACTATCAAAGATACTTTCTCTAGGTAGATAAAGCACTTTTTGTAAGTGTCACTGGATACGAGCGTCTGCTAAATGCTGTAAATGTAAATGTTTCCATTCTCCTCCATTTCTCTAGGGCATGATCATCTACGTCTGTCATATCCAGAGTGAACAAGACAATGTTTGGAGGAAGTACTCTATCCTGAACTGAAAAGAGGAAGTGACTGGACAGATCATGAAGCCAGCAGACTTTTCAGACTAGTGCCCAATCAGAACTAGTGTGCAGAAAGCTGCTATGGACTAAGACGTTGACTCCAGAAGACACATCTCCGGTTTGGACCACCTCTGTGAGTACACCTGTCTGTGAGGGCATTCGGGCCTGGAAGATATGAAACTGTTAAGATAAATACTGATAACCAGTGTTAAGGAGCTAAAAATTCCAATGACTGATCAAATACTGCCTGACAATGCAGTCAAAAATGAAACACCTCCAGTATTTTTAGTTAAACAGCGCTTTACTGCCGGATCATCAGTTGTCGAATAGGGATGGGCAATCAACTGTCTATAAAAGTTAATGGGAAATGTATATAAATTGGAACGTCGACTGCAAGCCAGGCCTTCTCATCAAATATCAGTGCCTGACCTCACAAATGCTCTTTTGACTGAATGGGCACAAATTCCTGCAGACACACTCCAACATCTTGTGGAAAGCTTTCCTAGAAGAGTAGAGGATGTTATAGCCACGAAGTGGGGACCAACTCTATATTAATGCTTATAGTATTGGAATGGTACCTAACATAGATGACACTGTCCTAGAAACACAGTCGAACTGGTTATACACTCTTTGTGCTGCAGGCAGATATCGTGCTTGTACAGCTAAGTGGCCACAAACTGACATTCGCAATTTTGTTCGTTTATAGCAGATTAATTACAGTTTCATGGCCAAATTAAAGAGGCAATGACATACAACCACAACTTTTACTGAATTGCGCTTTGTTCTTTTATTTGACAAATGTGTTTTCTCCTGCGTCCACTTCAATGTAAGGGAACGAAACAATAAAGCAAAGAAAAAATATCTCCCCACCCAAACCAGTTTAACCTTCACTGCGTGCATTTTTTCTCACCCGAACAGGAGGACAATTGGTGCTTTATCGGCTAATGTTTCATCGGCTAGGTGCGGATAAATCTGCTAGGTCTCAATATTGAGATCTCAGTATCAATATTATTGGACGGGCCCAAGGGAGCATGTGTTTCAGTGAATGTATGCGTGTGTTTACACCATGTCTTTGCTTGCATCAGCCTTCATTTGCTTCACCTAATGCCAGTTCCATGAAATAACTGAGGCCTTTTCCACTCCAGGTTTTGACAGGATTACTGAAGCCCAGGATTGTGTGTGTTATTTATTTTTTGCTATTTGGGCTCTATTTCCACAGCAGCTTTAAGCACAGATGGCAGCAGGATCAGTGTTTACCTTTTTAAATCGCATTTGATGTTAGAGAAACCTGGATACGCACTAATGCCAATTTGATGACAAGTGCAGAGTCATCCAGGCAAAATGCATATCAAAGCACCGACAAAACTCCAGCACACCACTGCGGTGTGCTGAGAATGATCCACCACCCAAATAGTACCTGCTCTGTGAGGGTCCATGGGGGTCCTGACCACTGAAGAACAGGGTAAAAAGGGGCTAACAAAGTATCAGAGAAACAGATGGAGCTGATAAAATGGACAATAAGTGTAGAAACAAGGAGGTGGTCAGAATGTTATGCCTGATCGGTGTTTTTATATATATATATATATATATGCACTAAATGGACAAAAGTATTGAGACACCCCTCCTAGTTATTTAGTTGATTTATATGTTATGTTATAAATGGTTATATAAACACACGTACAAGTTCTAGCTACTGGAGCATATATGTTTTATTTGTGACATAGAAAACTAAAATAACCAAAATGAAATAGACTTAAAAAGTTGAGTAGATAGAGTTAGTATTCGTATCTTGGCATTCTGTATCTGCTGAGACTTAAGGATTAGAAGGGAAAAGTGGCATCAGTCCATCCCTAGTTAAAATATTGGAAAAACTATGGCAGGGTACTATTTGACACTTTCCCCCATTTATTTTTATTTACAACGTTAGGTAAATGTGACCAACTTGCGTATTTAAAATTCGCATTGGAAAAAAATGATGGGACTTTTTTTTAATCTTGGAGAAGACCTAGTAATTTGATTTTAAGACCCGTAGACCAGAGGATGGCTATCAGAATTGTGCATTCACAGATGGGCTACAGTCTGAAGGTGTTTCTAATAAAGTGGCCAGTTGGTGTATAGATATAGGCTAAGCTTAATCCATGTTTAGGAAATCAGCCCAAATTTTCGTTTCTGTTTTCAGCCACTCTCAAATGAACAGCAGACCACAGCTCATTTGGCCCGTCCTTTCTGGCCACCTGGAACAGCGGGAACATTTCAGTGCCAACCTCTACTCATCTAAATTGCCAGCACTATCAATAGACGTTCAGTGCTTGTTGTACTCTAACGAAAGTAGAACCCTTTGAGCGCAGACTCTCTCGTTCAGCTTGCTTTCTTTAGCCACAAGACAAAAGGAACTTGAGAGTACCGAAGTGACTGTGGCAATGAAAAGAGTTTTTTTTAGCATGCAGGACTTCAGTGAAAGGAATGTCTTAATGACAAACCTACATTCACATAAACTTTATTCAGATATACACATGAATTCATATATTCTTTCATATTTCAAGACGTGTGTTCTGTCCTAGTTTTTGTGGCTCCTAGCTACTGCTTATAACAATATAGCTACTACTTATAACATGTGGAGCATCCAGTGCGTCTCTGGAGACGACACATCTCTCTGGAGACGGTCTATGAATAGCTATATGAAATTAAAGGCTAATTTTAGAGGCTTATTGGCTTGAAAAAGGGGGTTACATTAATCTCTAATGGGTTGTCCTTTCACGTGTGTTTCCTTATGTAGCCCATATAGAGATTTGAAACCCTTCATGGATAAAGCGGTTGATTATAGTATGATCATTGACCTTGAACCAACAGGGATTTTCCCACATTCCCACACACTGATCAGGCATAACATTCTGACCACCTCCTTGTTTCTACGCTCATTGTCCATTTTATCAGCTCCACTTACTATATAGGTGCACTTTGTAGTTCTACAGTTACAGACTGTAGTCCATCTGTTTCTCTGATACTTTGTTAGCCCCCTTTTACCCTGTTCTTCAGTGGTCAGGACCCCCATGGACCCTCACAGAGCAGGTACTATTTGGGTGGTGGATCGTTCTCAGCACTGCAGTAACACTGACGTGGTGGTGGTGTGTTAGTGTGTGTTGTGCTGGTACGAGTGGATCAGACACAGCAGTGCTGCTGGAGTTTTTAAACACCTCAGTGTCGCTGCTGGACTGAGAATAGTCCACCAACCAAAACCTGGGGTGGTCAGGAAAAAAGCATTTAACAGAAATTGAAACAGAAGCCTCAACAACTGTAGATAATCTCAGACATATTCAGGTTTTAGTGGCCACTCTTTGCATTTATTACAGCTTTCAGTCTTTTCAGGTGACTTGCTTTCAAAGAAATCTGTTGTTGAAGTTGAATTAATCCCAACGCGTTCAGTGATGTTGTGGTCTGGATTCTGTGGTGGTCAGTGCAGATTTTCTCCCTTTGCACAGTAACGGCTCCTTGACAGCTACACATCCTTTCAGACCCATAGTGTTGTCTTCTCACAGTGGAACGATAAACAAACATCTGGTGACTGTTTTGGTGGTCTACCATGTCTTGCACCTTTTTTTTCAAAGTCATTTTCACTCTGTTAATGGTTTTAGGACTCCAGTTTTTAAAACGTCTTCTGTATTTTTCACTTATTTTCTTTCGACTTTGCTCTTTATTTAAATTCACTAAATCTGTTTAAATAGATTTCTTATTCGCTGCTGTCGGAACAAAGCCTTGTATGTCCATTTTTGTCGTTTTTCAGTTTGTTGCCCTTTACATTGTGTGAAAATTTCATGATGAATGGACCAAAATAAATGGCCTAAAATTACTTGGAAAAAAGTCTGGTTCCATTGACTTACATTAAAAGTAGAGTATGTTTTTTCCTTCTCCTGTAAAGTTACCATTTTTGAGATATGAGGTTTTCTTCCGACAAAAGCGATATATTTAATCACATCAGAGATATTTCCTGAAAAACGAATAACGTACTTAATGGCTCTTTTGTCTGGAAATCAGTGAAAGTGTGGTCACTGACTTTTGCACAGTACTTACTTGAGACATGGCAGTTTAATAAACTTTACTTGCCTTGTTTTCTTCAATTTTGCAGTCATGATGGTCCTGTTTCTGGTGGCGACAAATCTCATATCAAACATCTCCTCACATGCGAACCGGACCTCAGGTATGTCCAGGTCCGTAACTGCTGAAGACTGACTGCCCACATGAACAATCCAGAGTGAAGCTTTCTCTCTTTTTCTCCTCAGAGCCGCCTGCTCCTCAGGGTTCACACGTCCTGCCCTCTGCCCTTGTTATCTCCCTCCTCCTCATCATCTTAATCCTCCTCACGGTCTACCTGCTCAGGTGGGGAACACATACAAAGGCACATGTCCTGCTTGAGTTAGTGTTGGCGACACAATCTCAAAATCAGGGTCTACACTGGGGCCTGACATACGACAGTCTGTCACCAATACTGACACTGAACACAGAGCTTTACTCACTGACTCTGGTAACACTGTACTTTGAGTACTGTGTATAACATGGACATAATTAGGCCATAAACATGTCATGGTAGATGCCATATGCTGTCATGAATTGTCATATCACATTTTGTGTCATGTTACTATTATTACCACTAATATATATATATATATATATATATATATATATATATATATATATATATATATATATATTTACACACACACACACTATATATGTATGTGTGTGTGTGTGTGTGTGTGTGTGTGTGTGTATATATATATATATATGGAACTAAACCTTGTATCTTGAAAATGACAACTTTACACAAGAAACAAAAACATAATTTACTTGTAATGTAAGTCAATGGAACCAGACTTTTTTCCAAGTAAATTTGGGTCGTTTCTTTTTCATTCATCATGAAATTTACACACAATGTAAAGGACAAGAGGCATTTTCAGATTATGTCAAAGGCTGAAAAATAACAGCAGTATTTTATACATACATATTTTTACATACAGTAAAAATATATACATAAAGTATTTTTACACCAGATTTTTTTTTTTCTTAAGTCATTTTGGGTCGTTTCTTTTAGTCCATTCATCATGAAATTTACATAGATTGTAAAGAGTGACAGACATTTTCAAATTATGTTAAAAACTGAAAACCATAAATTGTGCTATAAATTTTGCACAGGCCAAATTTTGTTTTATTCTTTCCAATGTGTTAAATTCTGTGAATAAATAGCAGTTGTGCATTAAAATCTGTAGAGAATGTGTAACTTATTTTTGCTTAGAAAATCAACAAAATGTCATTTTAGCATGGGGCGGCCAAACTTTTGCATATGACAGCATATAGGAATAGATAAATCATGATGTATTATTTATCCTTCAATAAATTCTTGTTGGAATACTTGTAATATCAAATACAACATCTAACAGTCCGTCTTGTTGTATGGATTATTTAAATGCATTGTATAATTGTTATTGCATATAATAAAATAAAAATAATAAATGCGAAAAGTCATTCCAAACTTCTGAACAGTTGAATACATGTGTACATGTTCATGTATGTTTGTAGAATTCATAATCGCAGCCCATAGATTCACATAAGTGCTGTAGATAAACAGTGTCGGTTTAAATGAAGGGAGATCTGGCCTCATATTCATAAAGCCTCTGCGGGTCAGAGTGCTGATCTAGGATAACGGGGTCGTCCTAAATGAGAGAAATCTGACGCTAGATCAGAACTCCTGCTCTGAGAAGCCTTATGAATATGGGCCGTGGTCTGCCTCTCAGTTAGACACTGTTATTGGGGTCGCTTTCATTTGAATTCACTCAGTTTAATCTCTGTTCAGTCGGCCCAGATGAGGAGCTCAAATTCCACTCATGACTGATGTTCACTGATACATTTTTAAGCAGATTTTCCAGATTTCAGTTATAGAACTTATCAGCTGAACCGATGGAATTGAACTCCTGACCCGTTTAAACACTACTCCATGCTGTGTGTGCTTAATGTTGTGCTTCTGTACTGGGGGTTTAAAGAAAACACTGTTGTGTAGGGGGTGTGTATGTTGCCCTGCCCAGCTATTCCAACAGCTGTTTGTGCAATAAACTGGGAGGCAGTTGTGCTAGCTGGTCAAACAGTCATTACCTCTCAGCTGCTCTGTGGAGTCAGAGCTGTAGGCTGTCTCCCATGAGAAAGAACAGCTTTAGATGGTGTGTTTAGACGGCCATTTACTACAAGCTCTTTCATTCTAAGAGATTTGTTGTTGTCTTCTGATTTGTGCATTTGTCTCATAGGTTCAGGCACCAAAGGAAGGATCTTGTCACCTCGGTGGACAAAAAGTTACCCAATGGCTTCTTGGAAGATCAAGGTAGGTTCAACGTCCTCACTTCAGAGCCGATTTTAGCTTTACAAGAAACAACATTGCTTAAGGCCAAGTCACACTAGCATTTCACTGCTGATCTCCGGAAAAGTAACTTTACAGGAGAAAGAAAAAACGTGCTTTATTTTAATGTAAGTCAGTGGAACCAGACATTCTGAACCAGATCTTTTCATGTCATTTTGGGTCGTTTCTTTGGGCCCATTCATCATGAAATGTACACACAATGGAAAAGACAACAGGATTTTTCAGACTAGGTCAAAACTGAAAAACGACAAAAATGGAGATATGAGTTGTTCCGACAGCAGCGATTTGCAAGTGAAATTAGATTAATTTCAACAGGCCTCTGAAGTTGCGTCGTCATTCTGTACCGTTTGTTTGGAAGTCTGGGTGTAAGCTGTTTTTTTTTTTTTTCTATGAGAAAAATGAATACAGGTTTAATGGCTACGGATAGATAGATGGATGGATAGACGGATAGATAGACAGATAGATAAACAGATGAATACAGAGAAAAATGAATACAGGTTTAATGGCTACAGATAGATGGATAGATAGATAGATGGACAGATGGACAGATAGATGGATAGATGGACAGATGAAAACAGAAAAATGAATACAGGTTGAATGGTGACAGATGACCTTGTGACCTTATTTTAACCTCAGTGGTCTCCAACCCTGCTCCTGGAGATCAACTTTCCTGTAAATTTCACCTCCAACCCAAATCTAACACACCTCCTTCAGCTCCTCAAGGACTTCTGAAGGCAGTAGTTTGATGTATCAGGTTGGGTCTGTCAGGGTTTTAGCTGAAACCTGCAGGAAGGTAGATCTCCACACTCTCAGAAATAAAGGTGCTAGACTGTCACTGGGTCAGTGCCCCTCCTGTCACTAGGGTGGAACCCTCAAGGCTCCATCTCAGTACCTTTAGTCAGGGAACATAACTGAACCATAATCCACTGAAATGATATGTTCTAAGCTGTACTGACTCCACACACCCCGTCTCGTCTCCAGGCTTTTATTTTACTGTTCTGTTTAAAACATTCGGTTATGAAAAGGTACAAATACGAACTTTTCACCTGGAAACACTTATTTAAGGTTCACAATCAGACCTTAAAACCACTGTTGGAGCTTTGAGGGAACATTTACACTGTTTGTACCTCGATGAACGAAAAATGTACCTGGACAGAACCTTTATTAATAACAGTGCAGGAGTAGATTAAAAAATGATTAAAAAAAAAAAGTTAAATATTTAGACCATAAATATTAATAAGAATAGTATTATGATCAGTTTAAACTCAAGGCATTAATAAGTTAATAATAATAACCTCAATATCTACAAAATCATCATTTAGAGTACTTTCTGTTGAGGTGGTGTTTCCAAACCTCGACAACCCCCAAATTGTAACAATAATCCTTGAACATTTTTTTAGTGTTGTTTTTAAAGACCTTTTTGTTTTCTTTTAAAGTGGAAAGATTTAGATTTATTATGAGTTTAATTTTTAAATGTAAAAACTTTTCACACGTTTTCATGTCAATTAGGAAACACGTTAGTTTTAGTTCATAGATGGAGTCTTATTTTAGCCACGCCCCTGTATTTTAAAGCAGGAAGTGAGGCTGCATCCCTGTCCCTCATGGCCACATGAGCAGTAAGATCCCATTGTTTTGTAGTAAGTGTGCATTTTGACTCATCTGTGCAGTGAAACACCACATACACACTAGTGAACACACACACTAGGGGGCAGCGAGTGCACTTGCCCGGAGCGGTGGGCAGCCCTATCCACAGCGCCCAGGGAGCAGTTTGGGGTTAGGTGCTCAAGGGCACTTCAGTCACGTACTGTTGGCTCAGGGGATCAAGCCGGTGACCTTCCGAGCACAAGGCTGGTTCCCTAACCTCCAGCCCACTACTGCCCCCATTTAACATTAAGAATTGTCACTACTAATTAATAGTGAATAATAAAAATTATGATTTTTTTTGTGGGCTCCCGATTGACACGATCCCTGGTGATGCTACAGCCGTCCATGGCTGGGAGTCCAATAGAGCACAATTGGCCTCGCTCTCTGGGTGGGTAGGATGGCCCCCCGTCTTCCCCTATCCCTCAGTGCGATGCTAGTCAGCGCAGGCGTCTGTCAGCTGACATAACAGAACTGGTGGTTGGCGCTTTCCTCCCAGTTTGTTCAGCTGTCCAGTGACATTACATTAGCGGTTGTTTAAAAAGATGCAGTGGAGCTTCACAGGTCTCGGAGGAAGCCTGTGCTCGCTTTAGCCCTCCTAGCGCTGGTGGTATCATGTGACTGGGAGAGTCCTAACAAGTAGGTGGAACTGGATGCGACTAAATTGGGGAGAAAATAAGGAAAAAATAACAATTTCGTATGTAAAACTGTTCAAAGCTGTGTGTGCTAGTCATGGCTGGCGTTTTTGAATTGTGCTCAAATTTAGCTAAAATTGTCACTTCTGAAGCAGACCCTAGTTTGGATAGTGTTATGATTGTTTTAGTAGTGACAAAATGGAACGTGCATTTATTAATTTTAATACCATAATCATGATAAAGGTATAGGGTCCCTCAAAGCGAAAGGATTTTAGTCTAAATTCCGGGTCAGTTAAAAGTCTGAAATGTGTTTTCGAACCAGTTCGGTCGGATGATTCTTATAATTATGTTCACATTTGTGTTTTTACTGTTGATGGTTAGTGATGTAGCTGGCTTGCTAACGGCACCGAAATGGAGGTTTTTTCATGGCTAATGTTCCGGACGAGTCTCGGTCAGGCCTGTTTCACAAGGCAACATACTTTGCCTGTTTATCCTGCAGGCCAACATAGGAAACTATAGCATGCCTAGTTAGATAACAGTGAGTGATGTAATGACTCAGATTCACTTCTCATTTTGAGAGACATTGGGATGTGGAAGTAACACTAACATAGTTTGACTAGATAAGGGTGGCAGAAATAGAACGTCACAAGGCATTTTCACAGTAATACTTATATAATATAATATAATATATAATATACCTCAGTTAACACAGAGGAGCTCAGGGCCTAATACGGGGTAAAACGTCACAGAGATTTTTATAAAGGTAAACATGTCCAGTATTTTGCCCTTGTTTTTGTACCATAAAACTTCTTAATTTAAATGTTTTTGTTGACTGATGATTTATTGATGGATAGATAGATAGATAGATAGATAGATAGATAGACAGACAGAGAACTTTGCAGTTTCCCTTCGGTATCAATAGTGTTTCAGTAGCAACACACATAATTGCACATAAACTTACATACACTATGCAGACAATAAAAAATAGAAAATAAAAATAGACATAAGTTAAAGTACAAGAGAGTAGAAATAAAAGTATATCTATTTGCATATTTACATGGCATATAAGACAGATTTGTTGTATTTACATGATAGCAGGCACTGAGTGGTATGAGAGAGACTAAAAGCACAATCAGTATAATAAAAATTGTATATGTCACAAAATCTACAATTATGTTAATGTATTCGCCCTCTTGGCTGTAACATTGTACAGTATTGAAGCATTTACACAATTCATGGCGAGAGCTGGCCAGGCTAAAGTACAGCAGGGTTCGTTTTAACATGCTGCTACAGTTTAGCCCTCCAACGTAAACAGTTAGAGCATTAAATATTCCCCATATAGATTTAAAAGTTTTCTTCAATTTGCGCCCTAATTTAGTCGTCCCCAATTCCACCTCCTAGTTAGGACTCCCCCAATCACATGCCACCAGTGCTAGGAGGGCTAAAGCTAACACAGGTTTCCTCTGAGTCCTGTGAAGCTCCACCGCATCTTTTCAAACTGCTGCTAATGTAACGTCACTGTACAGCCGAACGCTCTGAGGAAAGCGCCAACCACCTGTTACGTCAGCTAACAGACGCCTGCGCTGACTAGCATCGCACTGAATGATGGGGGGAGACGGGGTGCCATCCTACCCACCCAGAGAGAGCGAGGCCAATTGTGCTCTATTGGACTCCCGGCTACAGACGGCTGTAGCATCACCAGGGATCGAACTCGCGATCTGCTGATGATCTCCTGATGATAGGACCAACGCTTAGACAGTTGCACCACTCGGGAGCAGAACAGTTCATTTTGGGAACGTTTTTATGCAAAGATTACTCAAAAACTTACTATAGATGTCGTGTTTTAGTGTATTGTGCTGATATTCACTATCCATGATGTCAAAACGGATTTGGCCAGTGTTTCACAGGTTCTCATTAATCACATTTATTTATTTTTAAGTATTTGTTTGAAAAGCTTGTCTGCTTTAAGTGACATAGAATAATTAAGCAATAGAACACTCAAGTTTGTGTGTTATCATGAAATAACATCACGGCTGTGATTTGGTCGCCGTAGATCATCACAGCCGTGATGTTGTTGGCGATAACACACTCCTCGAGTGTTCTATTGCTTTAATACAACAGTTAAATAAATAAAGTAATAAATTAATAAACTGGGCCGTGAACGCGGCGTTTAATATGTTTTAATGTTCGCAGTTCCTTCACCAAATTATAGTTCCTTAACAAGCAGCTTGTTGCTACGTCAGAGTAACGAGCTCCGCCCACTCGCTGCACAGTCTGCTGTAAGCCTCGCCTTTTGAAGTACTGAACCATAAAACTGACACAATATCAAGTTCAGCTCAGTTTTGTCAGTTTTTCCAGATCAGTATTAATGTTGTTTTGTTCCAGCCAGTCTGTAAAGCATCTTACAGCCCATTTAGTTTGGCGAACGGTGTTGGGTTCATTTCTGGCTGATTCCAGATTGTTCAGCTGTTCTTCTGTCACAGCTGCCGACTGAAAAGCTGCTCAGTGGTGACGACAGTTTGGGAATTTAGTGTCGTCTCATCTTCAGAGTCTGACCAAATCGGCTGTCGGTCAAATGTGACAGTGTCAGTTTTCTGTTTGTGGCAAAGTAAGAAGTAAAAATGTTCAAATGTCTTGAGCGTCTCCTACAGCTGTCAAAGTCGTTGCTTAGCAACGGCGTCTCAGCGGAGTGATATAGTGTTTGTGATGTTATGGAAAAATATCAGCACGGTTAGAACACTTTTCAACCAATCAGCTTTTAGTGACTGTTACAGTGACCCCCTCAGTCCATTACAGTGACCTCACTTATGGGGCACATTTTCACATTTGCACTCTTGGCTATAATGGTTATTTTATGCTTTCATTTGTGGCAGAGATGTGTCCCTTGCTTGAATAGAACATGATTAATGTTGCTCAAATGTTCCTAAACCAATTCAGCAAAAAACCAAAATGCTCTCTGCTACTCAGAAAAACATACTGTGACATAATTTTACATGATAATGATGTCATCACACTGCCCACCACTGGGACTAGGTGCGCCGTGAGGTATGGTTTATGATCAGCGCTCTCACTGTGTACAGGTTTATTTCGGTTTGAAGGAATCTTTTCTCTCTCACTCTCTCAGAACAGACAGTGGTGCTCCTCCCCCGCTCTCCCTCTCCATCGAAGCGTTTCTTCCCCATCCTGCTGGACTCCCTGGAGGAAGAGTTCCGCCTGCGCATGGCAGATGATGGCAAACTGTTCAGAGAGGAATTCAACGTACGAGCACATCTTCTCTGCTTCTCTCTTTCTCATCTTCCAGTGCTCACGACACCGTTAAAACTACAGCACTTCCACTGACTGACATTCGCCGCCTTGCTTTTCGTTTACAGTCTTTGCCTTGCGGTTTCGGCCGCGGCACATTCGAAGAGGCAAGTAGAGAGGAGAACAAAGACAAGAACAGATACCCGAACATACTGCCGTGTGAGTAACTAACACCAATACACACACCTCTCCTCCGAGACCTGTCCCATCCCCGAGTCCAGGAAATGATGTCACATGTTTTTGAAAACTCTTAATATTTTTGCAAAACAACTTTTTTTTCTTATTTCTGATACGATTCTGTAGTATATTTAGACGTACACCAAACTTAAGTCACAAATATATATTCGTGGAATTTTAATATCAGTATGCCCAGCTAATATTACCGAGGCCATTCTCAGAACCTCTATAGGGCTTGACTGGGGTGTAAGCAAGGTTTATGTTTATTATAAAACATTCAGTGATTATGAAAAACAGCTAGCTGTTTTGATTGCAAGCAAATTTGCGTTACATTTCCTCAGTCGTTTCCTTTTAAGGCATCTCTTGTCAACAATCACGTGTTTTGTTTTCTTACTGTATTTACTAATAACATGCTGGAATTGCTTATTTTAAAAATGATTTACTTAACTACACAATAAACAACAGGGAAAAATATAAATAAAGCAAGAATTTAGTTTTCATTCAAAAACTGCAGAATGAAAAATCTCAGGCTCTATTTGCAATACCACACCACAACACTAGATGGCAGTAATGGCAACAGCGCCACTTCCTCTCTGGGGCCTCAGCTAGGTACCACAGGAGAGGTAAGCCTCAGGAGCGAGATCTGCGTACAGACCCTTCTCTAATATTACAGTAATTACAAATAATAAGTAGTTATTTTATTTGTTAATGTGTTCATTTTCATTTACAACACTGTCCTCATTGCAGCCCAGTACTGTTTGTAGTTATCATCCAGTATCTAGTTCAGCTAATCAATCCTTTATTCAGTTAAATCAGATGTTTTGGTGATGGAATTCAACCAATCAATGCAAAGGCTGGAAGCATCGGCAGAAACCTGGAACCAAACCTCTGTTAGCCTGTTTGTACTTTTTTGGAAAACGTATTTTTTACTCCGTTAGTGTTTATATTTATTCCAATTACACACTGCACAGTACCACTTCTTCTTTTCTAGTACCAATATGCACCATATGGCCAAAACTATCTGGAAACTCTATCTGGGTTCACTTATTTCAGCCACACTCTTTGCTAAAAAGTGCATGAAATAAAGCAGCTATGCAGTCTCCACTGACAAACATTACCAGTGGAATAGGTCATGCTGAGGAGCCCAGTGACTCTTAGTGTGGCACTGTTATAGGAAGCCTTGCCAGTGAGTCAAATTTTGTGTCTTACTAGAGCTGCCCTGGACAACTGTAAGTGCTGTTATCATAAAGTAGAAACTTCTAGAAGCAACAGTGGTTCAGCTGTGAAGTGGTGGACCACACAAGCTCACAGAACAATCATCTTTGCTCAGTAGGAACACTCACTATGAGCTTCAACATCAGCACAAAAAATGTTCTTCATGAAATGAGCGTCCATGTCTGAGCAGCCACAGACAAGCCTAGGGTCACCATGCGCAGTGCCAAATGTTGGCTGAAGTGCTGTAAACCAGGGGTTCTCAACCTTTTTCACCCCAAGGCCCACCTGTTTATAACCATAAAGCACAGCGGCCCACAGAAAAACTAAAATCAACTTTATTTTTTAATAGTTTTTTTTTTCATAATTGCTCACACTGAAAACCTGGGAATTAGGGCCTGAAAAAAATCGGATCGTCCATTTCACTTCAATCACAGAAACCAAAATTTGCAATTATATTAAACATAACGTTTAAAAAAAAAACGAGAAAAAGAAGAAAAGGTGGATGTAGATGTGGGCTGTGATTTGGAGCTGCAGTCCATCGCGATTTCACTAAAAAAGCTCTTGTGGCTCCCACAGCAGTCACTGTTTGGTCTGGAGTCTCTTTAGTTTTGAGGGTTTTAGCGCTTCATCTGAAATAAACCTCACTCCACTCACGCTTTTGGATCAGCGTCGCTACAATCAACATTAATAATAAAGCTTACTTGATACTTCTTTGTCATTAGTTTATCAAGTTGAGTTTAACTACTCAGGTCGCTGATGCTCGGCCAGAAATCAAACACAGATTACTATTTTAAGGCTCGTCTGTTGTTTTTATCAGCTGCAGCTCGAACTGCAGGAACGATATGAGAGCAATACGTCACACATTAAAACAGGCAGATTAAACTGACGGTACAGCGCCGACGTGCTGGTAGAAGAAGAGGAAAGCCAGCTCTATTGATGAATTTCCCTCGTTTCATCATAAAATGCGTCCCACCAGCAGTGAACTCAACAGGGTTCAGTTGGAAGCGGACCGAGACCCGCAGGTTTCAGCTGTTTGTTTCAGTTGTGTGTTCACACACGTCAAAACGAAGTGAACTGAAGAAAAAAGTTTGATAGGTCCGCACCGAACAAGGTAAGAGAAACACTGTGAAGAACCTGTGCGCGTCTTTGGCTAACTGGTGGCTGCTTTGTCTCAAACTGATGACGTCTAATTAGTTTGCGACTCTGGTTTTTATGTTTATACGTCTCTACTGGCCCACTATGAACTACTGCCTCCTCCCGAGTTAAGGCCTGCGGACCACTAGAGAGTACTTCACAGCCCACTCGTGGTCCGCAGCTCACAGGTTGAGAAACCCTGCTGTAAACAACACCACCGTTTAGACTCTGGAGCAGTGGAAACACATTTTCTGGCGGTTTGGTCTAGGTTTAGTGGAGGGCAGGGGGCACACTACCCTGACTGAATACATAGAGCCAACTCTAAAGTTTGGATGAGGAGGGATAATGGTCTGGGGCTGTTTTTCATGGTTTGTGCTCGATTCCTTCGGTTCAGTGAGGAGAAACTTTCCAATTTTGTGGCAACAGTTTGGGGAAGACTAAAGGCCTTTTCCTGCTTCGACATGACTGGCCTGCACTGAGCCCTGACCTCACCCCCGCAACATATTGGAGATGAACTGCAAAGCTGCCTGTGAACCTGACCTTACTCATGCTCTTGTGTGTGAATGGAAGCAAATCCACATGTCGGAAAATCGAGTGGAAAGCTTGAATTCCCAGAAGAGTGCAAAGGGAGAATGGACTCCAAATGAAATTGTCAAGATTTTGGAATTCGAGTGTCCACATACTTTTGGCCATGTATCATACAAACATGCACGATATCAACATCTATGATGATTGGTTTCCATTGATAAACAGGATAAAAGGTGGTGGATAAATTATGCAGCGACAGATGGGCTACAGTCAGTAACTGTAAACCTACGAAGTGTAGGATGCACAAACTGGCATCTCCGTGTGTAACAGCTTGGTTCTCTTCCAAAGAGTCAGAGATATTTATTAAATCTGCTTTTTCTTCTCAACAGATGACCACTCCAGAGTGGGGCTTTCACATATAGATGACCATATGTGCTCAGACTACATTAATGCGTCATACATAGATGTAAGTACTGTTCATATTACTGTGGGAATAGCAGAGTGATACACATACAGATACGACTCTGACTGTGCATGTAAGCATGACAGCAGCTCAAAAAGCAGCAGCTCCAGTCTTTTTTAATTAAATATTTTTTTTATTTTGTTGTATTTTATTTATTTTATTTTTTTATGAAGTGCCTTGTGACAACACTGTGTTTATTATTGTTATTAATTACATATGTTATGCATATTTTAGGGTTACAGAGAAAAGAACAAATTCATTGCTGCTCAAGGTAAGCATAGATTAATTGTACAAGTTTTAAGATTGAAATCATTTTGTTCCAAATTCATAAATATTATGACATAAGGATGCACAACTATGACCGGAATTTGCAATTTTTTGCTCCAAATATGCAAATATGCTAGTTGTTTTTATTTTTTTATATATATATAACACGAGGCAGACGAGTGTTCTCATTCTGCTGCTACACTGACCCAACACGTTGTAGCATAATTATGCAGGACTCAGTGCAGTTGAGTGGTTAATTATCAGATATAATCAGGTCTGACTGTACAGCGCACCGGCCCTGCAGGATCTCAGTTTAAGAAGCCTGCTTGCACTGAAGTGCTTATGAACAGCAGGTGGTGCTACTGAGTGACTATAGCTCTGACTCTGGCTCTGTTTGCTGTACTATATTCAGGGATGCTCTTTCACTCTGTAGCACCTATTATTTCTTGAATTTCCATTAGAAACCTCTCTATGTTTGCAGGTCCAAAGCCAGAGACAGTGGCTGACTTCTGGAGAATGGTTTGGGAGCAGAAATCTGCCACCATAGTCATGTTGACCAACACACGGGAGAGAAAAGAGGTAACGCCTATTAGAAGGATTAGTGTATATTCACGTGTAGTGAGAGTGCTTTTGTAAAGCTTTTGTTTTTGTGGACTTTTATGACTGTAAGGAGAAAATTGTGTAAATTTGAATTTGACTCTGATTTAATACACCGATCAGGCATAACATTATGACCACCATTGTCCATTTTATCAGCTCCACTTACTATATAGGTGCACTTTGTAGTTCTACAGTTACAGACTGTAGTCCATCTGTTTCTCTGATACTTTGTTAGCCCCCTTTTACCCTGTTCTTCAGTGGTCAGGACCCCCATGGACCCTCACAGAGCAGGTACTATGGATCATTCTCAGCACTGCAGTAACACTGACGTGGTGGTGGTGTGTTAGTGTGTGTTGCGCTGGTCTGAGTAGATCAGACACAGCAGTGCTGCTGGAGTTTTTAAACACCTCAGTGTCACTGCTGGACTGAGAATAGTCCACCAACCAAAAATATCCAACCAACAGCGTCCTGTGGGCAGCGTCCTGTGACCACTGATGAAGGACTAAAGGATGACCAACACAAACTGTGCAGCAGCAGATGAGCTATCATCTCTGACTTTACATTTACAAGGTGGACTGACAATGTAGGAGTGTCTAATAGAGTGGACAGTGAGTGGACACAGTGTTTAAAAACTCCAGCAGCACTGCTGTGTCTGATCCACTCGTACCAGCACAACACACACTAACACAAAAGTTAACATAACAGTGTTACTGCAGTGCTGAGAATGATCCACCACCCAAATAGTACCTGCTCTGTGAGGGTCCATGGGGGTCCTGACCACTGAAGAACAGGGTAAAAGGGGGCTAACAAAGTATCAGAGAAGCAGATGGACTACAGTCTGTAACTGTAGAACTACAAAGTGCACCTATATAGTAAGTGGAGCTGATAAAATGGACAATGAGCGCAGAAACCAGGAGGTGGTCATAATGTTATGCTTGATTGGTGTACAGTATTGCAGTTTTGTGCATCTAAAAAGTTGTGTCTATGCCGCTGTAGGAGAAATGCTGCCAGTACTGGCCGGATCAGGGCTGCTGGCAGTATGGGTGCGTGAGGGTGGCTGTGGAGGACGTCACAGTGCTGGTAGACTACACGGTCAGAAAGTTCTGCGTGCAGTATGTAAGTGGGAAACCTCAAATGTCTCAACACATAACTACACATACACTGCAAAAAATGAATCTTAGCAAAAGAAGACATCTTAAATGTTTTCTTGAAATATCCAAAATGATCTGCATTGTGTCTTGAAACAAGTAAAATCATCTGGCAGTCAAATACGAAGATTTCACTAGATAAAATAAGATAAAAAAATATAAATAGGCTGAATAGCTTTGCAATATTCCTACAACATTCTTCATAATGAGAAATATTCGATATATTGACTAAGATGTAATTGTTTAAACTTTCAAAGTTTTGTCACATACATAGTCTTACACGGTACAACTAGCAGTGAAATGCTTGGATAACTGCCCGCTCACATGAAGCAATAAGGTTATAAGAGACAGCAGTCAAATAGAAGAACAATATTGTAGAAATTATATAACAAAATATCCGTCTGTGATATAAACAGTATAAACACCATGAAGATAAGAAATGTGCAATGTGCACATGGCGTTGTAATTGTGTGTTAAAAGTGCTGAGGTGTGTTCTCCGTGGAGGAGGTGTTAATTTGTTTTCAACAAATCGTGTAATTTGCCTGCAGCTGTGAATGCTAATGTTCTCCGTGATTCTCAGCACGCTGCAGACGGTTGCAGGGCTCCGAGGTTGGTCACCCAGCTCCACTTCACCAGCTGGCCTGATTTCGGTGTGCCCCTCTCCCCTATCGGCATGCTGAAGTTTCTCAAGAAAGTCAGGAGTGTCAACCCATCACACGCTGGACCCATAATAGTTCACTGCAGGTAAGAGTGACCACCATTTATATCAGCTCTAAGTGAGGACGGTGGGGGGAGAACTACGAGTGAGTGGGAGACGGTGTGCAGTGTCCGAGCTCACCCAGGGACACGAGTGACGGCGGGAAGATGGCGATGCCGGCCACAAGAGGCATGAAGGCAGGGAGCGAGTCCCGTACTCCGCCACCTGGGCACCACTCGCAGCTCGTCCGCCTGGATCAAACATGAGGCTAATTAACGTGGCCTCACTGTGGGACCAGAGGCAGCGCCTAGGAGGTGGGGCTTGGAACTCGCGCGCCGTCCCCCCTCACTCACGGTGTTCATCTCCCAGTCGTCCTCGCTGGGCTTCGTCCCGCTCAGAGCTTGACCCCGCCATCGGGGCCCAGGGGATGGGCGCACGACACAACATCATACCAAAATAATCTGCTGTCATTTAAAATATGAGATTTCATGATGAACCGGACTGTCTCCAAAAGAACTGAAATCAAATTGAATTAGGGATACAAATTTTGCCAGATTCTTTTGACCCACAAACTGACAACTGACTGTCATTAGTCTGCAATTAATTGTTAACTGGCAAACCTAAAGTCAAGAACATAAAACCGATAGTTCTTGTTCTGAAATCTGATTAGCTGAGCCGCGTTAGAAGCCTTTTTACCAAATTAGTTTGTATTGCAGTCCCACTGTAAAAAAAATAAATACTTAAAATAACAATTTAGCACACAGACCTTTACAAGAAATACCTTATCTTACGATCCACTTAAAGGCATTAACTGAGATGGTAATAAGCTAAATATATACAAAATCACCATATACAGGGTACTTTCTGCTTTCTTTAATTTTTTCTTCAATCCTAAAGTTCAAAGTGATGCTGAAAGATTTAGATTTATCACGAGTTAATTTTTTAAATAAAAACTTGAAAATTTTAAATAAAAAATTGATTGAAAAAATGCTGTCACACGTTTTCACGTTGCTACCTATCACAAAGAGTTTGAGTCCATGGGTGGAGCCTTGTTTTAGCCACACCCCTGCATTTTAGAGCAGAAAGTGAGGCTGAACCCTGTCCCTCATGGCCACACATTCGTGTCCCAAAGTGTGAAAATCAGTGTGGAACATTAAGAATTGTCACTACCGAAACACGCATTTTCTGCAATTAAGTAACTTTTTTTGTGTTTTACTGTAAAAATTATTATTCTTTATTGTGTGTATAGCTGTTCAAAGCTGTGTTTGCTAGTCTTGTACCAGCTAGCGTTTCTAAATTATGCTCAAAATTGGCTAAAATTGTCACTACCGAAACAGTCTCTGCAAAGTTTTGGTAGCATAAAGCCTAACCCCAACCCTCGAGGATATAATTTGAGCAGATAAGCTCCCATTGAAATAAAATCAGACCAAAGATTATAATTCCAGTTAGTATTGGGTACCACGTACGACGGCGTTTAGGGCCACTGTTAATAAAAATAAAAACAGTAGACTTTGAGAATAAAGTCGTAATATTTGGAGGATAAAGTGGGCTAACTGTAGGGGGGCTGCCATAACGCGTTGGGGTCTCGGTTGCTGTACTGTAGGGGGGCTGCCATAACGCGTTGGGGTCTCGGTTGCTGTACTGGCGCCGGAGCTCCACTCACTCCTGTCTCTCTGTGGATCATTTTGATCATCATTCTCACTGTCTGTGAAACTTCATGCCCTCTCTGAATGGGGGGAGATGGAGCCCCGATAGCCGTGTAGACGACCCTGCCTGAGATTCTCCTTCAACAACACAGACAGACAGTTTCCTCCGAGTCCGTCTGGCTCTTTATTCTAGATAAACACGGTTTCCTGCTCAGCCGTTTCAGCCGGTTCTTATACTATAACAGGCTGGTGCTGATGTGCAGGAGAGACAGGGAGACTGAGTGTTTCTTTATGGGTGAATCCATATGAAAGTAGAACTCCACCAGCTCACCGCCCCTCATTTAACACGAGGAGGTGCTGCTTCCCTTCGCAAAGCCTTTGGCCACAATATTGCGAACTTTCCTGGTATTAATGCCACTTTAATGTCGTAACTCTACGACTTTATTCTTGAAATTACAACTTTTTTCTCAAAATATTATGACTTTATTCTCAAAGTCTGCTATTTTTATTTTTATTAACAGTGGCCCTAAAACGCTGTCGTAACCATGAGTGCTCAAAGTGAGGAAATTAAGAATAGCTCTGACAAGGATATGCAGGATAATTACATTATAGTGGTGGTGCAGAAGTTTTTTCTTTTCTACTTTTTAAAGTGAAATTGAAAGATTTATATTTTTAATTAAAAAAACACTATTTAAAAAATGCTGTCCCACATTTTCATGTCACTACCCAAACACACAGTTTAATCCATAGTCGGAGCCCTATTATAGCCACACCCCTGCATTTTAACCACAAGCTTTTAGTATTGTTTAAGATAAAAAACAGTCATGTCCAACATTTGGACTGGACTGTAACTCGCAGTGTATTAACATTCACATATCACATTTCACTTCACATGTATAGTTTATACAGCATAAAGACTAAAGACACCCAAAGTGGCATTTAATAATTTAATCCTCCAAAACTCTCTGGGATGAAAGTAGCCGAGTTTGAGTGACACGTTTGCGAGCCTGTGTGCTCAGCTGTTTAAAGCAGAACTGGGCCGTCATACGGGGCTGTTAACACTTGTAGCCCCCATAGCTGCGAGTTACGACAGCGACTGTTTTGAAGCCCAACAGCTGTTTAAGCACACAGACATGGCCTCCCTCACAGCCAGTGGTCAGGGGAGTGGTCTGATTACATTACACAGGAACTGTAAAACTTTCCTGATTTGGGATTTATGACAAGCATTGGTCATTTTATCAGTTCATACTATTTACCTTTCATTAAGTTGACCATTTTGACCTACAGCCCAGGGGCCGTATTACAGAAACTTCTTAAGGTTGAAATCTTATCTTATCTGCTTAGTTACCATGACAACTTCAGTAAGGACTGAATTTAGGACAGGAGCTATTACAGAACAACAGTTCTTAGGTTCATAATCCTATCCTAACTCCAGATAAGAAAACAGCATCACAAACATCCTAACTAGACTAAACCTCCTAAATAGTGTCCTAACGTTAGGAGAAACTCCAGAGCGCGCTCGGCTAAAGCATTTGGGAAATGGAGACTGAAACTGGGGAGCGGTGACGCTCTGATAAACAGCAGGGGGCGCTGACACAATATTCTTAACTCTGTTTATCGCGCTTTAGTTTTGTTTGTCAGTAACGGTAGCTGATGTTAGCTGTCTGGCTAATTAGCTTGATTACTTTGATTATGTGTTTACGTTTCAGCAGTGCACGTATAATTGGTTGCTAGGTAACACACACGACTTCAATCGAGTAAATTAAGATTTCCTAACTTGAGATAAGATGCTGTAAGATAAGATTCCTAAACTAAGGTCAGATTTGCTTCTGTAGTACAAATTAGTGAAAACTCTTATCTTGACCTGTCAGATCTTCAGTTAAGACACTGATCTTAATTTAAGAATCTTATCTTACAGCATCTTTTCTCATCGCAAGTTAAGAAATCTTAACTTTCTCGATTGAAGTCGACAATCAACTGTCGTGTCTTTTACCTAGCAACCAACCCTACGTGCAAAGCTGAAACATGAACACGTTAAGTTAGTTAGCCAGACAGCTAACGTTAGCTACCATTACTGATGTAAAAAAAAGGTCAAATAAAACTAAAGCGCGATAAACTGAGAGAATATTGTGTCAGCGCCCCCTGCTGTTTATCAGAGCGTCGCCGCTCCCCAGTTTCAGTCTCCATTTCCCAAACGCTTTAGCCGAGCACGCTAACGTTACTCCATCACTGTAATATTTCATCATCAACATTAACACACGAAGGTGATCAGAGGGGCGGTGGAGATCGAGTCTGCAGCGTCTGAGATCTTTAAAATGCAGAGTTAGAAAAGAAAATCATCTCACAGTGAAAGCAGCGTTTTACAGTAGGAATAAATGGAGCTCATTATGCTGGTAGTGAACTCTGCTGCATAAAACAATAGAAACAGACGATTAAACAGAAGGTAAGGCGCTCTGGGGATGACTTTGTTTACATCTTAACATTTGAATTATGCAGAAATTTAGAAAAATTGGTGAAATGTCTGTCTCTCTCTCTCTTTCTCTCTCTGTCTGTGTGTGTCTGTCTCTCTCTCTCTCTCTCTTTGTATCTCTGTTTCTCTCTCTCTGTCTCTCTGTTTCTCTCTCTCTCTGTCTCTCTCTGTGTCTCTTTGTTTCTCTGTTTCTCTCTCTGTATCTCTGTTTCTCTCTCTCTCTCTCTCTCTCTCTCTCTCTATCTATCTATCTCTCTCTAGTGCTGGGGTTGGGAGGACCGGCACATTCATCGTTATCGATGCCATGATGGATATGATGCACGTCGAGGGAAGAGTGGACGTGTTCGGCTTTGTGACCAGAATACGAAACCAGCGCTGTCAGCTTGTGCAGACAGACGTAAGGCTTGAATTAAGATCTACAGCAGAGGCTAAAATTTACGAAGGTCCAGTTACTTCAAATTTCTTGCTTACAAAGGTCCAGATGGACAAACTAACATAGGTTAATAGCAACAATGGTTACCTTTAAATGCCAACTAATACAATAAAATATATGAATATAGTAATATATATAATAAAATATGATAAAATATGTTTTGATAAACTGTTTTGAATGTAATTTTAAAATCTAATGAGCATTTTAAAATTGTATGACAAACAGCTATTGATTGTTAAATAAATAAATTAAATCAGCAGAAATTTTTTTGGAAGAAAATATCTTTTTCTTTTTTATTAGGAAAAATAAATTAAATAAACCAAAATTAAAATTAACACTGTGTCCACTCACTGTCCACTCTATTAGACACTCCTACCTTGTCAGTCCACCTTGTAGAGGTAAAGTCAGAGACGATAGCTCATCTGCTGCTGCACAGTTTGTGTTGGTCATCCTCTAGTCCTTCATCAGTGGTCTCAGGACGCTGCCCACAGGACGCTGTTGACTGGATATTTTTGGTTGGTGGACTATTCTCAGTCCAGCAGCGACACTGAGGTGTTTAAAAACTCCAGCAGCACTGCTGTGTCTGATCCACTCAGACCAGCGCAACACACACTAACACACCACCACCACGTCAGTGTTACTGCAGTGCTGAGAATGATCCACCACCCAAATAGTACCTGCTCTGTGAGGGTCCATGGGGGTCCTGACCACTGAAGAACAGGGTAAAAGGGGGCTAACAAAGTACCAGAGAAACAGATGGACTACAGTCTGTAACTGTAGAACTACAAAGTGCACCTATACAGTAAGTGGAGCTGATAAAATGGACAATGAGCGTAGAAACAAGGAGGTGGTCATAATGTTATGCCTGATTGGTGTATGTACACCGCTTTCTGGTCTAATATGCAGCCTGTTGTCTCTGATGAGCCCTCAGTCATTTATGTAAATGCGTGAGTGGATAAACTGTAATGCAGGACTGCGACAGAAGCCACACTGGTTCATATCCATATGTACCACTGAAATCTGACCGTTTTTACAGACGTTAATCCGACACTTTGCTTGTTCTGCATCTGGACGCCTGATCTAGTGGATCTATGCTATTTCAGCACGACTCATCATTCAAACCCCTCTTTGGTTCTTTTTGCCCAGATGCAGTACTCCTTCATCTACCAGGCTCTGCTGGAACATTATCTGTACGGTGACACTGAACTGGACATCTCCTCGCTGGAGGGTCACCTGCACAGACTCCACAGCACGCATATACACATGGACCGAGTGGGGCTGGAGGAGGAGTTCAGAGTAATTAGCTTCTACTTTCATAGCACCACATCCTCTGTCGACAGCGCCTAGTCAGCACCTATCTGTATATTTGCCTGCAGGAGTATTCCAGCATCTTTCAATCTAATTTTATTCAGCTCTTTCTTTGCTGTACTATTGATCGCCGATAATTTTGACATATTTCCCTGGACTGAACTGAAAATGCATCGTCTCTAAACTCATTTACAGTAGAAGTCAATGGGCAGCTGCTGAATTCCATCAATAAACCTTCAAAATACTTGACCGTATAACGTAAACTTTAAAATCCAGCCGTTACACTTTGACAGCACATGTCTTAGGATGAGGCAGACAGTTTATCCTGATTTTAGACACCGGAATATCATTGGAAAAATGGTTTTCTGGTATCCGTGTGTAATCAGCATAAGCCTGTGAAGACTCCACCCACACTATCCACAAATCCCCACAAAGAAATTAAGCGATAGATCTGAAAGACTTAAAACTGAATGATTTTCACTGAAATATTCTGCAAAAATATGTGTTCTTTACTGATGCAGTTCAAGTGGTACACACTAAAGTGCACGTTAAGTGGAGTTCAAAAGGAACTTGGAGTTTTTCGTCTTTATAGCAGAGGAGCTCTAGAATTCAGCTGTAGATGCCTTTTAGAAACCATTAAATATTATCTTTTCATAATTTCCATGTGCAATCAGCATAAGACTCCACACACACCATCCACAAATCACCACAAATTAATTAAGGGATAGATCTAAAAGACTTCAAATTGATTGATTTTCACTGAAATATTCTACAAAAGTATGTGTTGTTTACTGATGCAGTTCAACAACTGCCTCTTGGTTTCTGATGTAACTGTTTCAGGTAGTAATGCTTTTGAATTAACGTAATGATGCTGACGACACTTCAAAGGCAATAATTGCAATGTTAGGAAAGAGAACTGTCAGAAATGGGGGGCTAACTTAGTTTAAACAGCTTTGCTAAAAACTACTAAATATGAAAAGTTGTAAAATTATGAAAAAATAATATTTAATGGTTTCTAAAAGGCATCTAAAGCTGAATTCTAGAGCTCCTCCGCCATAATGACAAAAAACTCCAAGTTCCTTAGGAACACTTAACATGCACTTTAGTGTGTACCATTTAAATAGAAGACCGAGCCCTAGACCTCAGATGTTTGCTTTCAAAACAAGGTAAAAACTTTTGTGTTTTTTACCAAAAGCATTTGAGTTAATCAGCACTATTTACATGATTTCCAGAAAAGAATCAGCTGATGTTAAAAGGCACATAAATTAATTAAGCAGTAGAACACAGAGGGAGTGTGTATCGCAAAACAACTTCACGGCTGTGATTTGGTCGCCGTAGATCATCACAGCCGTGATGTTATTGGCGATAACACACTCCTCCAGTGTTCTATTGCTTTTATACAACAGTTAAATAAATAAAGTAATAAATTAATAAACTGGGCCGTGAACGCGGCGTTTAATATGTTTTAATGTTCGCAGTTCCTTCACCAAATTATAGTTCCTTAACAAGCAGCTTGTTGCTACGTCAGAGTAACGAGCTCCGCCCACTCGCTGCTCAGTCTGCTGTAAGCCTCGCCTTCTGAAGTACTGAGCCATAAAACTGCCACAATATCAAGTTCAGCTCAGTTTTGTCAGTTTCTGCCAGATCAGTATTAATGTTGTTGTGTTCCAGCCAGTCTGTAAAGCATCTTACAGCCCATTTAGTTTGGCGAATGGTGTTGGGTTCATTTCTGGCTGATTCCAGGTTGTTTAGCTGTTCTTCTGTCTCAGCTGCCGACTGAAAAGCTGCTCAGTGGTGATGACAGTTTGGGAATTTAGTGTCGTCTCATCTTCAGAGTCTGACCAAATCGGCTGTCGGTCAAATGTGATCTTAAAAGTGTCCATTTTCTGTTTGTGGCAAAACGCAAAATGCAGCTAGAGCTGACCGTGTTTCACTGTTGATTTGCTGCTGCTCAAACTGTTTGAACGCAGCTACCACAGAAAAGCAAGGAAACAAACGGGTAATAATAATGTTTCTCATTTTCATTATCATTCTTTTTGTTCTTTTTTTTCTTACCAAAAATGCAACTTTTGACCATTTTCAGTGGCCAGAATTTCAGCATCCTTAATTTCAGGTCAACATATTTTCTGTTCTTTTCCAAGTATAGGGAACTTCACTATTATCTATACTAATCATTCACACTACAAATGCAGCTGATGGAGCTTAAGTTGAAAAATGCTGGAATGCTCTTCTAAAGGTACAACCAAAAGGTTTTTATGAAAGGTTTAGCACGTTTTTCAGCCTTTCAACCTCTTCAAATGTTTTTACAGAAACTGACTAATGTCCGGATAATGAAGGAGAATATGAGAACTGGGAATCTACCAGCTAACATGAGGAAGAACAGAGTATTGCAGATCATTCCATGTAAGAAAACGTCTTATTTAATGACTACTAGACCAACATTACAGAATCAAATACATGCTGTCCAGCTAATTGAGGTTTCTAGCTGAAGATTAAAACTAAGGCCCAGTCCCATTTCACCCCTCGCCCCTACCACTGAGGCTTTAGCCCTCTGTTTTGCACATTCACGTCTAGGGGTAGGGTGTTCTGATTCTTGTTGAGATAGAGGGGGAGGGTGAAGTGTTGGGGCTACATGACCCTCCAAACGGAGGTTTTTCAGAGACTCCAAACAGAGAGTTATGAGAAAAAAAGAAAAACCGGCAAGATGGAGAACAAGAGACCAAAGAAACACACAAATGTGAGAATTTTCTCCGTTAAAAAATTTCAATAACCACTGTATTTTCTTAGTTTAATGTCGTTTCAGTGTATTTTGGTCGTTTTCTTCATAACAAGCACAAAAAAAATAGCATGCTAATAGTATGCTAATGTCTCGGTAGCTAGCTAGCTGACTTTCCTGTTCCACCTTAAATAGACCAGCAGTTCTGATGCCTGAAGCGCCAGAATGTAACTGCTGCTCCATTTAAGGTGGAACGGGAAAATTCGAACAAGAATCTGGTGAATATCTGACTTCAGCTTCATATCACTGAAGAATTAGGGGTGGGTGATAATAAATAATTGCCCCCCTCTTTGAAGATCATATGATGCCCTAAATGTAACTAAAGCCCAGCAGTGAGGAGCTGAACTTTACCCTCCTCTGCTGTCACTGCAGACTGGCAGGGTCGCCTACAGAGCAGTGCTGGTAGCTGTTAATGAAGTGATGCTCTTTTTATTTGAGGGTCCCATTTCAGAGGGAAGATCTCAACCACTACCCTGTAACTCAGTAACAAGGGGTTAGGGTGACACTCGAAAAACAAGGGGTAGGGGTAAAAAGAAGAAATGGGACTGGGCCTCAGTGTGTAAAAGATTAGGAGGAGGGATCAACACAGTTCTACAAGACATCATACTGATCTAGGTTCAAGTGTTGAAAGTGTTTTAAACTTACCTTAATGATGACGCTGCTGCTGCATCACACAGCATTTCCAGGTAGTGCTAATTTGATCTCATCCTTTGTTTCCAGATGACTTCAACAGAGTAATATTATCTGTGAAAAGAGGTCAAGAATTCACAGATTACATAAATGCATCTTTCATAGATGTAAGTATCTCTTTGCACTGATTGGCATGTCTGTTTTTCAGACTAGAAGAATAATTAATAATGTAAGATAATTAACACTGAAGCTCTTACAATTTAAAAGTTGCACTTTTTTAAATTGCGATTTCTGTATAAAAATGATTAAATGTTCAGCCCAAGTCATTACTGAGTAATAGGTCTCTGGCTTAATAACTGAATAATAAAGATGCAGTTTAAGGGGTAGAAATTTAACATCAAAATGTGCAGTGTTTATTTGGTTGGCTTGGCAAATTATTAGGTAAATTTATTATTTAAGCTGTAGAACACAGAGGGAGTGTGTTATTGTGAAATAACATCACGGCTGTGATTTGGTCGCCGTAGATCATCACAGCCGTGATGTTATTGGCGATAACACACTCCTCGAGTGTTCTACTGCTTTAATACAACAGTTAAATAGATACAGTAATAAATTAATAAACTGGGCCGTGAACGCGGCGTTTAATATGTTTTAATGTTCGCAGTTCCTTCACCAAATTATAGTTCCTTAACGAGCAGCTTGTTGCTACGTCAGAGTAACGAGCTCCGCCCACTCGCTGCACAGTCTGCTTTAAGCCTGACTGAGCCATAAAACTGACACAATATCAAGTTCAGCTCAGTTTTGTCAGTTTCTGCCAGATCAGTATTAATGTTGTTTTGTTCCAGCCGGTCTGTAAAGCATCTTACAGCCCATTTAGTTTGGCGAATGGTGTTGGGTTCATTTCTGGCTGATTCCAGGTTGTTTAGCTGTTCTTCTGTCACAGCTGCCGACTGAAAAGCTGCTCAGTGGTGATGACAGTTTGGGAATTTAGTGTCGTCTCATCTTCAGAGTCTGACCAAATCGGCTGTCGGTCAAATGTGATCTTAACAGTGTCCGTTTTCTGTTTGTGGCAAAGTCAGAAGTAAAAATGTTCAAATGTCTTGAGCGTCTCCTACAGCTGTCAAAGTCGTTGCTTAGCAATGGCGTCTCTGTGGAGTGATACAGTGTTTGTGAAAAAAATGTTGTATAATTTATAGTGTGTGTGTGTGTGTGTGTGTGTGTGTGTGTGTGTGTGTGTACTATGTAGGGTTACAGGCAGAAGGATTACTTCATAGCCACACAGGGCCCTTTAGCCCACACTGTGCAGGACTTCTGGCGCATGGTGTGGGAGTGGAAGTGTCACTCCATCGTCATGCTAACTGAGCTAAAGGAGAGAGAACAGGTAGATACCATTACGTTCCACTCTTACTGCATAAATGGGGATTGTAAACTGCCCACTGGTACATTACTACATGTGAGCTTTGTCCTCCTGGGTCATTTGAACTGTGTCCAGTCTGTAATTGATGTGTTTAAAGAATACAATAAGGACACAGTCATTTATATTGGATTAGAAAAGGGCTAAAAAATACCACAGGATGGTCACAATAATAATATTGGGGTTATATAGCTAATGTTACTGGCCTGCTTAATGTTGACCAAAATAATGAACAAACCCAATTCCAAAAAAGTTGGGATGGTTTGTAAAATGCAAATAACAGAAAGCAGTGATTCGTAAATTTACTTTGACCTTTATTTAAACGAAACCAGCACAAAGACAAGATATTTCAAGTTTTATCTTAGCAATTTCACAGTTTTTTTGTAAATATACACTCACTCTGAAATTGATGCCTACAACAAACTTATTAAAAGAGGTGATTCAGTCATGCCTATATATAAACGTAGCAACCAGGAAAGGCCTTGTCCTTTATGAGCAAGGATGGGTCAGGGCTCACAACTTTGCCAAAAAAAGCATCAGCAGGTCTAACTGTTTAAGAACATAGTTCTTCAATCAGAGTTCAATGTTCATTCAATGAGACTTCAATGTTATTCCGCCCTGTATGGTGCATAAAATTCTGAAAAAAACTCTGACAAAATCTGCATATAAAAAAGCAAAGCCAAAAAGACAGCACTGCATTAAAAACTGGCATGCTTCTGTGATGGATATCACCACAAGAGGTCAGGAATCTTTTACTTAACCGCTCTCACTAAACACTGTTCATCGCTGCTTCTACAAGTTAAGACTATACCTTACTATGCACAGCGGAAGTCAGAAACGCCACCGACTTCTCTGGGCTTGAGCTCATCTGAAATGATCTGATGCACAGTGGAAACGAGTCAACATTTCAGATTGTTTATATAAATAATGAGTGTTGTGTTCTCTGGGCCACAGAAGTAAAGGACCATCCAGATTGTTACCAGTGTAAAGTTCAGAAACCAGATTATCTGTATAAGCACCGTAACACAAAGATATATCCATATTTTGGAGCAACATATTCTGCCTTCTGGATGTTGCCCATGCTTATTTCAACATGACAGTGGCAAGAAACATTGTACATGTGTTGCAACAGCTTGGCTGCAATATCAGAGAGTAGGAGTGCTTTTAAACACTGTGTCCACTCACTGTCCACTCTATTAGACTCTCCTACCTTGTCAGTCCACCTTGTAGATGTAAAGTCAGAGACGATAGCTCATCTGCTGCTGCACAGTTTGTGTTGGTCATCCTCTAGCCCTTCATCAGTGGTCACAGGATGCTGCCCACAGGACGCTGTTGGCTGGATATTTTTGGTTGGTGGACTATTCTCAGTCCAGCAGCGACACTGAGGTGTTTAAAAACTCCAGCAGCACTGCTGTGTCTGATCCACTCAGACCAGCGCAACACACACTAACACACCACCACCACGTCAGTGTTACTGCAGTGCTGAGAATGATCCACCACCCAAATAGTACCTGCTCTGTGAGGGTCCATGGGGGTCCTGACCACTGAAGAACAGGGTAAAAGGGGGCTAACAAAGTATGCAGAGAAACAGATGGACTACAGTCTGTAACTGTAGAACTACAAAGTGCACCTATATAGTAAGTGGAGCTGATAAAATGGACAATGAGCGTAGAAACAAGGACATAATATTATGCGTGATCAGTGTATGTACAAAAAAATAATGCATTTCATCAGGTAAAACATTTTGGAATTGGGTTTGTACTCCTGTTGGATTTTACTATGATTCATCAACACATCCACAGAAACGTTTACTGGAGCTGTGTTTGGTCAGGATCCTCACTCTTAGCACTCAGTAAAAACATTGTGATTGGTTGGAAGCTCATTTGTATATTGCAGCCTTCTGCATATCAGTACTGCAAAGGCCAGTATTACTAATGATCAACAAACAATGTAGCGCAGAACTAACTTAGAATATTAAAGAATTCATAATAATTAAAGCAGCAGCAGATGTGAAGTTTAAAGTGAAGGTGCTTCAACTGCTGCTCTCTTTCTGACTTCAGGAAAAATGTGTGCCTTACTGGCCTGCAGAGGGCAGCGTTTCGTTTGGAGAGTACAATGTGGAGCTGAAGAGAGACACGCTGTGCAAGACCTTTAGTCTCCGGGATTTGCTGCTCACATACCTGCCGGTGAGTTGGACACTTGCAGCTGTTCAGTTACAGTCTGAGTGATTCTGAGAGCTCCGTACAAATCAGAGTCCAGAGAAAGGCTGACTACACTGCAGAAATGATGACTGACCAAGTGCAACCATCCTGTCTAGATAGATAGATAGATAGATAGACAGATAGATAGATAGATAGATAGATAGATAGATAGACAGATAGATGGATGGATGGATGGATGGATAGATGGATGGATAGATAGATAGATAGATAGATAGATAGATAGATAGATAGATAGATAGACAGACAGATAGATATAGATAGATAGATAGATAGATGGACAGAGAGATAGATAGATGGACAGACAGACAGATAGAGAGATAGATAGATAGATAGATAGATAGATAGATAGATAGACAGACAGATAGATATAGATAGATAGATAGATAGATGGACAGAGAGATAGATAGATGGACAGACAGACAGATAGAGAGATAGATAGATAGATAGATAGATAGATAGATAGATGGATGGATGGATGGATGGATGGATGTATAGACAGATAGATAGATAGATAGATAGATGGATGGATGGATGGATGGATGGATGGATGTATAGATAGATAGATAGATAGATAGATAGATAGATAGATAGAGAGACAGATAGAACTTTATTGAGCCAGAAGGGAAAATTGTCTGATTTCTTTGATTTTGAAATTGTTTAATTTTTTAACTTGTTTCTAAATGTGTTTTGCTTGTTGTAACTTATTGTAGTGTAATTATCTGCATTACGTCTTCTTCATCATCTGCTAACAGAGGTGCTGTCACTAGATAAAATTCATTTAAGTAAAAAAAGTCAAAAATTTATTTAATCTAAAAAAATAATCTAGAAATAAGCTATATAATATAATATTCTTACTGTATTCTCATAATTAGAAATATTAGATATATTGACTACGTTTAAGATGTTTTTGCTTACCAAAATCTTTTTTGCAGGGTATTTAGTTCTTTCAATGCATTTTAAAAGGAAAAATGAATTAAACTTTATGGCATCTCTCGTCTGTCCAGCAGCGTTTTAGATTACGCAAGGCTGTTCCAACAGTAGCGGCAGTCGCTACCATGTTAGTGTCGCTGCTGAGCTGAGAATAGTCCACCACCCAAATATCACCACCCTTTGATAGATGCGGGAGGAATGTGGGGCTACAGTCAGTAATCATAAACCTACAAAGTGTTTATTTTATCAGGAACCAAGCATGTATGTATACAGTCTGACACCACCCTTCACTTATTTAATTTCCAGTCAAAATGGTCATTAAGTACAAATTGTTCATGTTTAGATAGACAGACAGAACTTTATTGATCCCGGAGGGAAATTGCAGTGTTTCAGTAGCAAGACATATAATTGCACATAAACTTACATACACTATGCAGAAAAATAGACAATAGGAATAAATCTAGACAGAAGTTTCAGCATCAGGAAAAAAGCCAAAACCATTATTAACTGAAAATTGCACAGAAGCCTCAACAACTAAATAGACTATCACATTTTCCAGTATTTAATGCGTCCACACTTTCCCTTTATTACAGCTTCCATCCTTTTCATGAGACTTGCTTTCAGGTTTTTAAAGAAATCTGCAGATATTTTTTCACACCTCCAAAGTTCAGTCTTGAAAGTTGGTTGCATTTTCTTCTTCTCATAATCCAAATAAACTCAAACACATTCAGTGATGTTGAGATCTGGACGGTTGTTCTAATAACACCAAGAGCTTCTGTTTAATTTCCACATTCTTTTTTTGTCTCTTTCCGCTTCTCAGTAACAGCTTCTTGACAGCTGAACATCTTTCCAGAGTTTTTCAGATCTGAAGCAAAAGTGGAGCTTCATTTTCCACAATCTTTCAAAGATGAAAGCTTTAAGTACTGTTTATCTGTCAGAGACACTGTTGGTGGTCTGCCAGGTCTTGCATGATTATTAGGAATCCCATATTATTGATATTTCCAGTTTTGTTTTTTTCACCTATGTTCCTTTATGTTCTCCTTAAAAAAGAATAAATTGTACTTAATGGCTGATTTGACCAGAGATTATATAAATGATGGTCTCTGACCTCGATATGTGGCAGTTTTAGTTTATCTAAAAAAAGCTGATCACTTTTGTCTCGAATCTCTTCATTTTTAGGAGAAGCAAAGCCGCCTGGTCAGGCATTTTCACTTCCATGGCTGGCCAGAAATCGGAATCCCGTCAGACGGAAAAGGGATGATTGATCTTATCGCTGCAGTGCAGAGACAACAGCAACAATCTGGCAACCACCCCATAGTGGTGCACTGCAGGTAGGGATGAACGATTTGGATAAAATCATTTTTATAATTGTGATTATATTCTATAAATTTAGGACCATAATATCAACCTTTACTAGCTTGAGGCTTGACCCCTTAATGTAATGCGCCACGCTGCCAGTAAGTAGTGGTTGTGATGTCACAAAACATGGAGGTTCGGTTCCCTCTGCTTGTTCTACTTTATCTACAGACAATTCTCAAATTCTATGTTAATTGGTTAACAACATTTTTAATATGGTAGGCTATCTTTTCTTTTTTTAAATTGCAGCACTTGCAATTTGAAAATTGCACTCCTTTGTATTGCAATTTCGATATGAAAATGATGAATCTTTCAGCCCTAACTGCAGGTACACATGCACACGCATTCACACAGTAGGGAAGTGAACTGGTGGGAGTACTGCTACTGGCTATTTAGGCCCAGTCCCATTTCTTCTTTTCACCCCTACCCCTTGTTTTCGAGTGTCACCCTAACCCCTTGGAGCTGAGTTACAGGGTAGTGGTTGAAATCTTCCCTCTGAAATGAGACCCTCAAATAAAAAGAGCATCACTTCATTAACAGCTACCAGCGCTGCTCTGTAGGCGACCCTGCCAGTCTGCAGTGACAGCAGAGGAGGGTAAAGTTCAGCTCCTCACTGCTGGGCTTTAGTTACATTTAGGGCATCATATGATCTTCAAAGAGGGGGCAATTATTTATTATCACCCACCCCTAATTCTTCAGTGATATGAAGCTGAAGTCAGATATTCTCCAGCTTCTTGTTCGAATTTTCCCGTTCCACCTTAAATGGAGCAGCAGTTACATTCTGGCGCTTCAGGCGTCAGAACTGCTGGACTATTTAAGGTGGAACGGGAAAGTTAGCTAGCTAGCTACTGAGACATTATCATGCTATTAGCGATTTGTTATGCTAGTTATGAATAAAACAACCATAATACACTGAAACGACATTAAACTAAGATAAAACAGTGGTTATCGTAATTTTTTAACAGAGAAAATTCTCACATCTGTGTGTTTCTTTGGTCTCTTGTTCTCCATCTTACCGGTTTTTCTTTTTTCCCATAACTCTCTGTTTGGAGTCTCTGAAAAACCTCCGTTTGGAGGGTCATGTAGCCCCAACACTTCACCCTCCCCCTCTATCTCACCAAGAATCGGGATACCCTACCCCTAGACGTGAATGTGCAAAACAGAGGGCTAAGGGCTCAGTGGTAGGGGCGAGCGGTGAAATGGGATTGGGCCTTATAATCAAGCATCCTAGGCTCGCACACAAACACAGCTTGTCTATCTCACTCTCAGACACTTAGAGAGCCTGTAATGAAACACACCCCTTCTGTTTCGGTTCATTCAGTGCTGGCGCAGGCCGGACCGGAACTTTCATTGCCCTCAGCAACATCTTGGAGCGGGTCAAGGCTGAGGGGCTACTGGATGTGTTCCAGACTGTGAAGAGTTTACGCAACCAGAGACCACACATGGTCCAAACTGTGGTAAGAGTCTGACACACAAAATGTAAGAGACCAGCTCAAACAAAGGCCTACATTAGTGAGGAGAAATACCAGGATGGACAGACGGGTGACAAATTAAAGGAAAAGCCTGAATAAGTACTGAGTGCAGTATTGCCAGAGTGGACTGCAGTGGCATTTCTAACAATATGATCAATGTTTGATGTTTTCCCTTTAAATTAGTAATGTAACACATGCTCACACTGCAAACAGAGGTACCTTGGCATAAAAAAGATCTATTCAGTATATCTAATATTTCTCATTTTGAGATTATTGTATCCTTATTATAAGATCATTTATCAATTATTTATAGACATTTTACAGCCAGAAACAGAAAGGCCTTAACCTTTTAACTCCTTGGACCCACCGGTGGTCCCAAAACGCACTTCGTCATATTCTTTACTTCATAACTTTCATATTTCATAAGCTACATTCAAAAGGTGGGGGTCGTATGAGAGCTGTAACTGTCTTCTTTCCAGTCAAATAGATGGGTGATGTAATTTTAAACCCTTATAATAAAAGAAGCTGAACTCTTTCTACTGAAAGTCGACCCATTTTTCCACAAATCTGATCTATAAACTGGATCTCAGATGGCGTCTCTTCAGTGATCTGCTCTGTAAACATTATTTTTATAAAAAAATACAAAGAGCGTCTAAGATTTTTGGCTTTCAGCAGTAAATTGTAAGCATATAGCAATATATGTATGATCATAAAACACATTTTCTGTTCATTTGAGGGGAACGTTTACTAAAAAAACTAAAACTTACATGTATTTCTTGCAGTTACTGAATAATTTGCCCTAGGATTTTGGCGTGTAAATCCAGATGGAAAAACCGAAATATACCCACAAGCATAAGAGGTTAACAAGGCCTGGCAATTATGACAACAGTTCACCAAGATCTGAGAGATCTTTCCTCAAAAATTGGAAACTCTTCCTGATGTTCTCATTAAATCAGTAGAAACATTTGGCTATGGTTTCTTCCTGCATTGCGTTAAATTGCTTTAAATGTCATCTATATTGCGTCAGATTTCATCCTCTAGCCAATTAATTCATCTGCAATAAAATGAGTTGATCTGATTGAGGATTATACATATACGGTGCCCTCCACAAATTCTAGCACCCCTGATAAATATCAGCAAATCAGGCTGTAAAAAACAGTCTTTGTTGCTTATCCTTTTGATCTTTCATTGAAATATTAACAAGGATGTGCACGTGCCATGAGATGACAGACAGCTGATAGACAGTCATGGTCGTTGAAAGCTGTTATGCCACCTTTTCTTGTTTCCACCCTCAGATTCCTTCTGAACCCAGCTTTCTATTTCAGCACTCCAGGTTACAGAATGTTGCTCTGTGTTAATACAGTGAACTAACTTCAGATATTTAAGCAGTTTAGTTCATTTACCAATATCTAGCCTGGCCTAGTTAGCCCTGGATGAGAGGGCTAGGCTAGTTAGTGCTAGCATCTGCAAACCTGAAAGGTGGTACAGCTTTGCTGAACAACTGAGTTTATGTTCTTCAATGTCCAAAATATTTATCAGTTATGTCGGTTTACACAGGGCGACACAAGGGAACACACAGTACATGAACAGCTTAATAGGAAAATGACAAACGTTGCTTATAATGTTGGACTTGCCAGTGCAAAGCTGCACTGAGTACAGTGTCTTCCACCATGTTAGGGTGGTTCACAGCTGAATTAGTGGGTGTGGCTATGTAAAGATCAGTCACTCCAAGTCAGTTAACCAATACTACATTATTGAAAATCTCCCTGACAGTTTATATTTCTTAGCAAACTGAAGTTTTCCATTATGTAAATAATTGTGTTTGTTTTTTTTCAGGAACAGTACGACTTCTGCTACAAAGTGGTACAAGATTTTGTGGATATCTTCTCAGACTATGCTAATTTCAAATAATGGACTTTTCTTTCAGTGCTTCTGGTAACTGTATTTTTTATGACGGCGTTTTAGGGCCACTGTAAAAATAGTAGACTTCGAGAATAAAGTCGTAATATAAGAAAAAAGTCGTAAAATGTTGTCAAAAAAAGTCATAATATTTCGAGAATAAAGTCGTAATATTTGGAGGATAAAGTGGGCTAACTGTAGGGGGGCTAACTGTAGGGAGGCTGCCATAACGCGTTGGGGTCTCGGTTGCTGTACTGTAGGGAGGCTGCCATAATACGTTGGGGTCTCGGTTGCTGTACTGTAGGGGGGCTGCCGTAATACGTTGGGGTCTCGGTTGCTGTCCTGGCGCCGGAGCTCCACTCACTCCTGTCTCTCTGTGGATCATTTTGATCATCATTCTCACTGTCTGTGAAACTTCCTGCCCTCTTTGAATGGGGGGAGATGGAGCCCCGATAGCCGTGTAGACGACCCTGCCTGAGATTCTCCTTCAACAACACAGACAGACAGTTTCCTCCGAGTCCGTCTGGCTCTTTATTCTAGATAAACACAGTTTCCTGCTCAGCCGTTTCAGCCGGTTCTTATACTATAACAGGCTGGTGCTGATGAGCAGGAGAGACAGGGAGACTGAGTGTTTCTTTATGGGTGAATCCATATGAAAGTAGAACTCCACCAACTCACCGACCCTCATTTAACATGAGGAGGTGCTGCTTCCCTTCGCAAAGGCTTTGGCCACTATATTGCGACCTTGCCTGGTATTAATGCTACATTAATGTCGTAATTCTACGACTTTATTCTCGAAATATTACAACTTTATTCACAAAATTTGACGACTTTATAAGCGAAATATTACGACTTTTTTCTTGAAGTAATGCGGCTTTATTTTTTAAATGTTGTGACTTTATTCTCAAAATATCACGAATTTGTTCTCAAAGTCTGCTATGTTTATTTTTATTAACAGTGTCCCTAAAACGCCATCATATTTATTTTCCATGCTCTAAGTTTGTTCTAGTTTCTGTCTGAGGAAACTCTGCTATGGCTTGATGACACTCTATGCACTTGACCGTCTCTCGAAAAGCATTGGAACAAATGCAGTGAGCAGTAAATGCTTTTGTACATAACCGAGTCTCACCTGTGTGATCACATCACAACATAAGCAATTTGCAGTTCTTTGTGTTTGGCGCAGACTTTTCCCACTTATTTTCAGTTCTCTTTATTAAATATTGCAGTTGTTTTATTGATATGTTTTGGGGACCGAGTGGGATGTAAACATTTTTTAGAGTATGTTTTTTATTTGTACATTTCCCACCACTGTATGTAACGTCTTAAAGATTATTTTAATCAGCGAATATTAAGCGTTTCCTGTTCGTCTCATCATGTTTGTCCTATCAGTACATTTTGCTATGTTGTTCTATAAGCTGTCCTGTGACCATTTAACAAGTATTTACTTACAGCTCAACCAACGTCTGTGTTATGAACTCATTTTAAATTTGAATTTATGGAAAAAGAAAAAGCAAATTCTGATTTGAGGAGTGTATATTCCATTTCTTTGTTCTCCTAGTCATACTTAGAGTTACAAGAAATAAAAACACATGACTTCCACAAACAATGTTTCAACTGTTATTCATTTTAATATTTTTTAAATACACATTATATATAAAAATAATGCGTGGACGCGCCGTATTAACACGTGGGAACGAGATCCTAATGCATGGCCATGACTTATGCTAACCATACAACAGAAGACTTTAAAAAGGCTTTTGAAAGACTAAGCGCGCTAACGTTACTCCTCCTAATAAACAGACACACGTTCAGCTCCGTCTCCTCATTATTCACCACCATCACTGTAATATTTCATCATCAACATTAACACACGAAGGTGATCAGAGGGGCGGTGGAGATCGAGTCTGCAGAGTCTGGGGTTTTAAACACTGTTAGAAAAAAACCTCACAAGTCAAAGCAGCGTTTTCAGTGTAGATAAATGTGGCGTCATTATGCTGGTTATAGTGAACTGAGCTGCATAAAACAACAGAAACAGACGGTTAAACAGAAGGTAAGACGCTCTGGGGTTCATCTTAAAGTTAAGACAATATTAAGGATATTTTGGCAGCTTAGGATGTTTCTGTAAAACCGTTTTCTAATCTGGAAATAAGATAAGATTATAAACTTAAGACTAACTGTTCTGTAATGGCTTCTGTCCTAACTTCAGTCTCAACTGAAGTTGCCATGACAACAAAGCAGATAAGATATGATCTCAGGCTTAATAATTTTCTGTAATGTGGCCCCAGGTGCCTCAATGATTTGGCTGAGTTTTGACATTGATCACTGATTTCTGAACTCTTTCTCATCCTAAACCCCCTGAGTTCTCCTTCCACACTGATAGGCTGCTGAAAGAGTTCTGTGATGGGTCATTCTACAGAAACGTCCCTTCTGGTGTCCCTAGCATTTACAGATATATTACACTTAAAAAACATGTTACGGTTACAATTTATTTATATTTTAAAATAAAACAATGTTATTTTAACAATTACACCTTATTGGGCCTCAATTTAGCAATATTGGTTTTTAAATCAATCATATAGAATTCCAAGCACCACAGAAGAGCTCGTCCTCACAGTCGTGTGTGAAGGCTGAGGCCATATTTTGAAGTAAAAACATGTTTTTCTGCAATTTTAACTACAATAATCTATACAAGACTATGGACTATATAAATTAAATGATATAAAGAAAACAAACGCCAAATAAATATTATAAAATATATCATGAAAGTTGTGGCCCCCAGGAGTCGTGTCACTAGTGTTACTGTGTTACAAAAAGTCTCTTATTTTGAAATAAAAGTCACACTGATGACATCACTCGACTTCCTTTTACCTGTTTTCTGAGGATCTATGAAGAAAAGCTCATGGTGAGTCCACTGTGTCTTTCAGTTATCAGAGATTTTCTCATTTAGCTCATGATTTCATATGAAGCTTTTAGCTGAAGTCACTGGTGTGACCGACTTTATTCTGAGGTAACTGTGAAAAATAGAATACAAATGGATTAAATTCCATATTTTAGTGGATATTCCATGATTGTGGTTTGATGCTCTGTAGCAGTTATTTTGTAAAATGCGTTTTTCATTAAAATGTCTCTGGTGTTCCTTTATTATGTGTAACACCAATGAGGATCAGTAACACCAGTGACCCCTATGGAGAGATAGAAAAGTGGACGTTTCTGTAGAATGACCCAAATATAAGACAACAATGAGATCTTACACACTTTAGGAAATATTATTCAGCTAAAGTGATGTGAGTCAGGAGGAAATTGCTTAATTGGGAACACCTTTTTTTTATTTCTGCATAATTAAATGGTTGACATGTTAACAAAATCATTCAGAGTGGTTTGGTGTGAAACGCTTCACTCTACAGAAACATACTGAGTCAGAATTATTCACACTGGTGGTGATAGGAACCAGACGTCTCAGGACTTTAATGCCTCTAAAAGCTCCCTCATTACCCTCGTTACATGAAATGGTTATGAATACAGTGCCTGGTGGCTGAGACTTTTCTGTAGTTTTGTGATAAAGTTTTGGTCTAAAATGTTTTTTAATCAACTTGTTTTAATCTGTTCATGGTGGAGGGATACATGAAGGGTGTTCTAAGGAAAAATAGTCCCCAAAGAAAAAATTGTTTGATCAGATTAACCATTATTTTGCCATCATCAACATTACATATGTATACTAAGAAGACGCATTTAGGTTCACTGGTGGTTTTGGAAAGTACATAAACATCATAAATAAACATCAGGACCCCTGGTTCCTACCACCACCACTGTAAGGACGCAGTAGTCAAAGTATCTGTATCAATGAATTTTACACCAAAACAGTCTCAATGACTTTATCTGAATGACTTTGAATCTCAACCACTGAATTAGGCAGAAATTATGAAAAATCGGTGGAATTCCTCTTTAAATCTCAAGCAGATTTCATTCAGAGTGGTTCGATCAGAAATGGTTAATTGTAAATAAACATACAGACTCTGATTTCTGTACAGTGGTGGTGACAGGAACCAGGGGTAACAATGTCTACAACACAAATATACCCATTTTATAATATGAAAATCTAAATAAAAGTTTTCTTTATGGATTGTTTCGCCTTAGAACACCCTTTATGTATCACTCAACTATGAATAGATTAAAAGAAATTGATTAAATATATATTTTAGGCCAAAATTTGTGTAACAAAACTACCATAAAGCATTGTCTCAACATCAGCCTGAGTATGCATAACTTTCTGGGACGGAGATTTTAGAGGCACTAAACTTTTCAGACGTCTGGTTCCTATCACCACCACTGTGAACTATTCTGACTCAGTATGTTTCTCTAAAATATAGCATTTCACATCAGATTACTCTGAATGACTTTGTTTACATCTTAACCATTTAATTATGTAGGATTTTTCAAAAATCAGTGGAGTTCCTCTTTAACCATGTTTAGGAGAAATACATGAGATTAAGAGATCTTAATTAGAATATTAATTGCTCACCACTGAAGGACTGTAATGTAAAAACGACTGTTTTTGGTGCATAAAACCAGAGGCGGTTTATGAAGAGTCTGGCCCCTTCCTATTTCCCCCGTTATATCAAAAACAGGACTGCCAAACAGCAGAGGGCGCCCGCGAGCAATGAAACAAAAAGTTAAAATAGTTTCTAATCACTCGCCCATAACTTTCCTTTAATTTTAGAAAGTAGAAGGATGAGTTTCACTAAAAAAGCAAAGAAAACTCCCCCGTATGTTTCCTTTTTTTCTACAGCAAACGGGTTTTGGGCAGCAGAAGGTGGGCATTACTGCTAGTGAGTGCTGATCATAGATATACATATCTAGATGCCGCTTTGGGTCCAGCCAGGCACATCAACGGCGCCGCCATTTTGGAGCGGTCAACATCGCTGCTGGACTGCATTCAGTACCATTACAGAGCAGCAGTTTAAGAAAGATACTGTCCGAAATTACACTATTTCAGGAATATTACACTCAGAAAGTGGGATAGGATTATATATCGGAGGGAACGCAGTGATCCACACTCATGTCTGTGTGGTGTTTGTGTAGATATGGCCGTGTGGTTGTGAAGCTCAGAGAACCTGTTGATGTGATTGTTTTTCCTCTGGTTTTATATTAAGATTATTTCATTTAATAGTCTATTCAGGATCTTAGCTTTATGTAGTAGTTATTTATTTACAGTGATGGTTAAAGCTTTGTAGCGGTAATTTACAGCATTCATTAATCTGTGTAGATATTAATAACAGATTAACGTTAGCACCTTCTTACATGAAGCTGAAGTCAGTTTCTTATTTGCTTCTTGTTCAAATTTTTCCGTTCCACCTTAAATGGTGCATCAGCCAGCTTCTTGTTCGAATTTCCCTGTTCCACCAGAAAGTGACTGCTGCACCATTTAAGGTGGAACGGGAAAGCTTACTGGAGCTCGCGCTAAACTCATGTCAGGTGCAGACTGAATACTTTCCTGCTGGTCCGGACGGCTAATTATCACGATCAGTTATTAAAGTAATAAAAGCTACCGAGAGCAGATCCGAGCAGCCTGGATTAATCTGTGTCTGAGGATTATAACTAAACAGATTTGGTGAAAATCGGTTGAGTAATAAGGAAGTTGTGACTGATTTAATCCTGAGACTCTTCGTCTCTCAGTACAAGTGAATTTGTTCACAAGCGGATCTTGACCTCTCCAACATGGCGGACGCTCAGACGTATCGCCTCAAATAGAGAACAACAGACAACGCGGCATCCAGGTATGTATGGGGCTGATTGGTTAGCATTACTGCTAGTGAGCGCTGATTGGCTGGCGAGCGGAGCAGTTCAGTGAATGTAGTCTTTTACATTAGAAATGTTTTAAGCTTTTATAAACTATGATTTTGCCCAAATGCTCCATATCAGCCCATTCATTTTGGACTGGCTCGGGAGCGCCCTCTAGCATTCGGGAAGACATTGCAGAGTGGTAATTCTCTTCTCTACAAGTTCTCTGATAAAACCACTTATAAAACGGATAGTTCCGGTCCTGAAATCTGATTGGCTGAGCCGTGTTCAGAGCCATAAAGTAAGAACACGTTTTTGTTCAGCTAGCCAACAGGCTAAAAGATAGCAAACATGCTAAACAACCCCAACATTAATATCACACGGCAATATAATAGTCTGAAGAATGTCACCTGAATGTCTTGCATGCTTTAAATGTCCATGTTTCAGTCAGACGTCGTGTCAAACCCAGAGTGAATCCCAAACGGCTCCGTACTCCATAGCTAAATAGTGAGCTGTGTAACATTAAGTGTAGAAATTCTAGTTTCTGCTGTCTAGCTGCGTGCAGATCTCAGCAATGCAATATTTTTTTCATATCTAATTAAAAATAAAACAAGTTTACAGCCTATCACTTCTTATGTGTTCATTTATGCCCCATTTAAAGCCACAGTTTACAAACGTAATAACGTTTATATCACTTTAGCAGTAACATAGAAAAGCAGACCTATAAACAATTTAAAACACAAGAAACGATTAAAGGACGTACCATAAACGTCCCCTCATTGTCCTCTGGAGGTTCTCTGGTGGTCCTACAAACGTCCTATAAGAACGTCCAATGAGACATTTAAAGGACTTTCCATAAATGTCCCCTCATAGTCCTCTGTATGTTTCCGGGTGGTCCTACGAACGTCCTATAAGAACGTCCCTTGTACCATTTTGGCGACCCTACAAAAAACGTCCAGAGGACGTTCGCAGTGTTGGTTCGGGGGACGTCCTCGGGACCTATTTTTGTTAACTGGGTAATACTGCGCTGCCTGTCCAGTCTGAATGTGGATGAATCCCAAATGACCACTTTTAGCTGTATTTTGCACTGTTGGGCTGCAGGATCCAGTATATAAATTCCTACGTAGTGCGCTATGTAGGGAGCAGGGAGCCGTTTGAGATTCAGCCCCAGCATGAGAAAAGTGTCGCCGTCAGACTGGCAGAAGACTCGCGGTGGTAATTTAGTGACCAAAAAAGTCTTATAAACTGAAAGTCTTTAAGCAGTGTTACATAAGTTCACTGTTATACATGAAATGTCTATATTATTATAAAATCATGAAATGTCTGCAGTTTACAGTGATTGGTGACCGAACGGTCTTCTCCTCATTCAGCGCTCAGTAGTAGCTTAGCAGTGGACAGTAATGAAGTAAATGTAATTCATTACTGTACTTAAGTAGTTTTTTGTGTATCTGTACTTTACTGAAGTTTTTCCATTTTTGGTGACTTTTTACTTTCACTCCACTACATTTCAAAGTCAAATATCTCACTTTTTACTCCACTACATTATGAGAAATCTGTCGTTCCTTTTGGTTTATGTGTGAATAAAAACGTAACATCAAAATGAAAGAAGCGCAAAGCAAGAACACCAATCAGGGCACAGCGGTCACTTTGTTTTGAGCTTGTTTTGACCTGTTGGTCATACCGACCCAGTGCAGCACACGGTTCAACATCAGTGCAGCAGCGTAAAATTTTGGGAGAGTCTATTCAACATAAATGATGAACTAACCTAACTTTGTGTAAACAGACCACAATATAGAAATATGTACTCATATGCAGTTGTGACTGACGTGTCTTTATTCTGAATTTATACAAACACATTTCATTTTATAGTAAATTAGTTTTGGCTAGTTTATGTTTATGAACAGAGACCTACAGATGCAGTTTAGTAAAGGAAACTCATTTGTGAATCTGAGTTTGAAGTTTTTATTAAACTTAAACTTGTAACTGAGTTCAAATAAATCTTAAACTGAAACTTTGCTTGTTTGTAAAAAGTGATTTCAGAGCCACTCAGTTCTACCTGATGGAAACTGTTTGCCTTCAGTGTTTTGTGCTTATGATAATTTTAATAGACATCAGCGTCACTAATTAATGACATTCTATTAAAAGACTGGTTTACCAAGAGAGACACTGGAGTATTTTCACCTAATATGAGTCGATTAAGGAAGAGTCTTGTTACAAAAATGATGATAGGACATTTAGAGTCATAATTAATCTTTTAGTACTTTTACTTTCGATACTTAAGTACATTTGAAGGCAAATACTTTAGTACTTTTCCTCAAGAGGAGGTCTAAAGGGAGGAACTTCTACTTTTACTGGAGTAATATTTTACCTTGGGTGTCTCTACTTTAACTCAAGTACGTGGTTTGTGTACTTCATCCACCACTGTTGCTTAGCAACGATACCGCACTCTAAAGGAACTACATTTCTTGGCGGAATACTTGTTTATGTCGGTTATTATTAATAATACCTTTAATAATTATCTATAACATTGTGCATTTTAATATATTTAATGTTTTATGAAAGCAATAAGCCCCTCGAGGCAGCGGGTTACTGCGATTTTATCACGGGGAAGGGAGTTTTAGGCAAATAACACCTTCCCCGTGATAAAATCACGGTAACCCACGGCCTCTCGTGGGTTATTGCTTTAACGCATGTAAACACTGGACCTCCAGTAGGTCCGTCAAGCAACGCAGAACTGAACTCAGCTCTACTGACCACAAGTCCTCCTCAAGGCCGTTGTCTGCAGCCTCCCTACACCATTAAAGCGACAGATGACGAGCACCGCGCTGCAGCCAATAGGAGCTCCGGGGCGGGTCGGTACGACTGACGCTCTTCCCTCTGATTGGCTGTGTCGATACTGGCAGGGACAGTCTGTTCTAACAGAACTAGCGGGTCAGGCGGCTCCGCACGGCCGCTGAACAGACCACAGAAACGCGGCGGTTCGGCGGTTTTGTGGTTCTCGCCACGTTTTTATCCGCAACGCCGCCCAAAACATGGCGAGCAGCAGCGACAGGCGTCCTCGCCGCGCGTGACGCTTAGTTTTTTGTTTTTGGAGGCTCGCGAGGAAGCGCGAGCGAACGGGATGATATCATAACTGGGCGAAAACGGGAGCTCGAGGACAGAATATAATTCCTCTTCCGAGCATAAAAACAGCGCTTAGTCCGGTAAAATGGCTGGAATTTGTAGCAGCTCCACATCTGGAATGGGTGACATCATCCAGCTCAACGTCGGCGGGACGAGGTGAGCAAACGGCCGTCAGAAACTTGGGGCCAGTGTTGTGAGTTACGTGCTAAAAACACGGTCGCCAGCGGTAACTCAGCCAGGAAGGTCCTCAGATTCTCCGTCTCGTCTCTGGTGTTTCTAAACGCAGTTAAAGTGTCTTGTTTGGAGCTGCTGAGCTGCTGGAAAGTCCATAATACGACACATAAGCGAGCTGCCTCCCCTCACTAACGCGGAGTTTTATGGCGCATGGGCTTGTTTACAGTAAGCAGACTGAGTGTGGAGCGGTGGTCTTAGCTTCAAACAGAAGGAAGAGCAAGAACCACGGCGGTTTGAGACCTTCGAGATGATATCAGGTGGAGAACAGTCACCTTTAGGCTTCCTTCAGGCCCAGTTTTTGGAAGTAGTAGAATTAGCTGGAGTAGCTAAAGTAGAGGGACACGAATGACTAGAGGTGGGTAATCCAGGTCCAGAAAGTAAAAATCCCGCCCCAGGATTTTGTTCCAACTGCTTGACTTCTCTAATTTGCTCAAACCAGCGGCAAAGGTGTTCAGGCAGTTGGAACAAAATCCTGGAGAGGGTTTTTGCTTTTTGGACCTGGATTACCCACCTCTACAAATGACTGACCAACCAACGAGAAGTGAAGTTTATTGATAATAATAATAATAATAATAGCAATTTAGTGCCTTTCACACACACAACGGCACTTAACAAGAACTTTACATAATCTTATTGGCCAAAACAAAAAAAAACAAACAAAAATCACTAAGAGAGAAAAGAGGAAGAATGAAAGTTTTGAGAAAGCTGGAAAGTTTTGAGGTGGATCGGTTTCAGAAAGATAAAGGAAGTGAGTTCCATAGTTTAGGGGTCATGACACTAAAAGATCTGCCCCCATTTTAAGGCAGGGACCACCAAGAGGCCCACATCAGAGGACCTCAGAGTACAGGGGAGAAGGAGGTCAGATATGCTAGACTAGGGGTCTTTAATTAAAATTCAGTCCAGTTAGAGAAAATTTCCTCAAGCGAAGGTCCAGAACATCATAATGTCTAACTTGCATTATGATTCAGTGCCATATACTGTTTACTGAAGTAGCCTAGTAGGTATATCAACATCTTATACAGTCGACAACTGAATGTCAAACCAAATAAAGTACAGTTCAGTCATATTTCAACAACATTTACTGTCAGTTTTCTCTTTTTAGATCACATCATGTGAAATAACCTCCCTCTGACTCACTTTCTTCTCCGACTGCTGTTTCTCCCCTGTGTGTGCGTCACTCACTTGAGTCTCAGTGCTCATCGTAATGCACAGATCTGATTGGCTGAGTAGCGTCACGTGTCATATTTACAACGCATGCGATTGGTCTGTGGGTCGCTAAACCGATACTGTAATGACTAGAAATGATACGCCGATTAAAACAGGACCACCCCATCAAAATTAAACAATTATCCATGGTTTATCGATTATAGGTCCAGGTCCGCATAGGACAGTGTCTGGGTCCGGACTTGGACCGCGGTCCGCCTATTAGTGACCTCTGTGCTAGACCATTCAGGGCCTTGAACATCAAGAGAAGGACCTTAAACTGGATACGTAAATAAATGGATAAGCGATAGAGATCTGGGCTGATGTGAGGTTCTTTAGAAGAGAGACAGGTAAGCAAACAGCAGAGCGTTGAACGCATTGAAGGTGTTGCAGGATTTTTACTGGGATGCCAATAAAGTGATTACAGTAATCTAGGTGTGATGTTACGGAAGCGTGGATCAGTGTTTCAGCATCTTTCATGCTCAATATAAGGTGGAGGCGGGTCATATATCATCCACTGCTTAATGTTTTGGATGCATAGTAAGGCAGAAGGACTAACGTAGATGTAGATCTGAGCATCATCAGCCTAGCAGTGAAATTTGAGACCTTAATGACGGGTTATTTGTCCACAAGGCCACATGTACATGACAAAAAGTGGAGGGCCCAGAACTGATCCCTGTGGAACACCTTGCAGAAACCATTCAAAAGCGTAGAAGAGTTGTAATGCCAACTTAATTTGTTTCAGTATCTGCTTTTCTTGATTTTCTTACGCTGCAGCAAATCATAAACAAGTTGTGGACAAGTATAATTAGCTGATTAAGGTGAATCAGTTTTCCAAGACCTGGAACGTGCTGCGTTTTATATGGGAATAAACAACAACGAGATGAAAAAGAGAACATGAGAATGACAGATGGCAGGAATTCATCTCAGATATTAATAACAATTAAAATTCATTGTTCAGTTTATTGTTTTGTATCACAATGAATTCAGACAAATTTACAAAACAATATTACGGCTTCAAACAACACATGAGCGGTTTGGGCTACAACTAGGCACTGTAATAACAATAATATTACATAATACATAAGTTTTAACACAATCAGGAATAAACATGAATAAATGCAGCAGAATCATTTGCCTGTTTTCAAAATGTAGACTACAACCAACCCAGATGAAACAACACTGTGCAGGTCAGCAAGTTGATTGAGAACGTCTGATGTATGAGAAATGGTGACTATGCTAACGTAAGTGTGAACAGAGAATCAAAAAGTTTGGTGAAATGAATCTTATTTGTTCTTTTTTTTTCAGATTTAGCACATCCAGACAGACTCTCATGTGGATTCCAGACTCTTTCTTCTCAAGGTAAAATTACCAGCCTACTAAAACATACACAAATTTTAATAACTAATAAATATTAAAGATATTTGACTTGTTAATTCTTATGAATTCTTAAAAAAACAACCCTAATTTATTGTAAACTCTATATAACTGTCTTGTGAGCTGTAATGCATCCGTTGGCCCAGTACCTGTAAGATGAACAGCACTGATCAAAGTCCACTTTTGTTGTTGATAAGAACATTTTCTGCAAGCAAGCGCTGATTCCAGCAATTCAAGCCCTTACAATTTGTTTGTTTGTCTGAATTGGTATCAGAAACACTGGACTACGTTATCAGAGTTAACATGTAACTGTAAGTGAAAACCAGTAGTGGATGAAGTACACAAACCATGTACTTGAGTTAAAGTAGAGACACCCAAGGTAAAATATTACTGCAGTAAAAGTAGAAGTTCCTCCCTTTAGACCTCCACTTGAGTAAAAGTACTAAAGTATTTGCCTTCAAATGTACTTAAGTATCGAAAGTAAAAGTACTAAAAGATTAATTATGACTCTGATGTCCTATTATCATTTTTGTAACAAGACTCGCTTCATTAACTCAGTTTAGGTGAAAATACTCCAGTGTCACTCTTGGTAAACCAGTCTTTTAATAGAAGGTCATTAATTAGTGACGCTGATGTCTATTAAAATTATCATCAGCACAAAACACTGAAGGCAAACAGTTTCCATCAGGTAGAACTGAGTGGCTCTGAAATCACTTTTTACAAACAAGCAAAGTTTCAGTTTAAGATTTATTTGAACTCAGTTACAAGTTTAAGTTTAATAAAAACTTTAAACTCAGATTCACAAATGAGTTTCCTTTACTAAACTGCATCTGTAGGTCTCTGTTCATAAACATAAACTAGACAAAACAAATTTACTATAAAATGAAATACTGTTTGTATAAATTCAGAATAAAGACACGTCAGTCACAACTGCATATGTGTACATATTTCTATATTGTGGTCTGTTTACACAAAGTTAGGTTAGTTCATCATTTATGTTGAATAGACTCTCCCAAAATTTTACGCTGCTGCACTGATGTTGAACCGTGTGCTGCACTGGGTTGGTATGACCAACAGGTCAAAACAAGCTCTAAACAAAGTGACCGCTGTGCCCTGATTGGTGTTCTTGCTTTGCGCTTCTTTCGTTTTGACGTGTTACGTTTTTTTACACACATAAACCAAAAGGAGCGACAGATTTCTCATAATGTAGTGGAGTAAAAAGTGAGATATTTGACTTTGAAATGTAGTGGAGTGAAAGTAAAAAGTACAGATAAACAAAAAAATACTGAAGTACAGTAACGAATTACATTTACTTTGTTACTGTCCACCACTGGTGAAGGCTAAAATTCGTTGTCGTAGCTTACATGGTCGCCTTTAATTGGATTTTATTTTATTTTGATACGTGTGCCAAGAGAAATTCCTTGTACATCTGGTACTTGGCGAATATAAATTCTGATTCTGATGAAATGTTGCCAGTGTGGCTATGAAATATCATAAAAATCATCATGATTTTGAACAAATATGTCCCAAACTGCTGATCTGAAAATTTATGTAGAATCGATTACAGTATTGTACAGAGACCACCTTCGTTTATTTGTCTTCCAGTCAAAACAGGCATTACTTATTATTCATTTTTACTGTCAGAACAAAACCTCGTATCTTCAAAATGGTAACTTTACAGGAGAAGGAAAAAACCTCCTTTACTCTTAATGTAAGTCAACCAGAATTTTTTCCAAGTCATGTTTGGTCATTTCCTTTGCTCCATTCATCATGAAATTTACAAATAATGTAAAGGGCCACAGGTATTTTTAAATGATGTCAAAAGCTGAAAAATGATTTTTCCACACCTTCAACCTTCAAAGTTCAGTCTTAGAGGTTGGTTGCAGTGTTTGCTTCATGAATACACAAGAACAAATTTAAGGAAGAACTTGAGAAGATATTGGTGAATGAGGCCCAGTGAGTGTGTTTACATGCGCTCAGTAATCCGATAACTGCAGAAAATCTGATTTTGTCAGTAATCCGATCAACATGTTTACATGCACTTGAGTAATCAGGGAATACTCCGGGGAAATAATGGGAAACTCCAGGTCTACGTGAGTCAGGCAGTAATCGGATTTCTGCTTTGCAACCAGCCAATAAACTCGCAGAAGAAGACGCGACATAAAACTCAAACTTCATGAGCAGCTTTTTGAGTCTTATTAGTGGAAAATATGAACGTACATCACCTAGAAGATGAAGAATATTTAAATCCTGTATATTTAAACAGCAACATACGCTGTCTGATCTCGCGCAGACTGAGAAATCCGATAGAAATCAGAGTAAGAGTTTACATGCACTGAGAAATCTGATTACTGAGCTCTTTATCAGATTTCTTAATCAGATTTCTAGATCAGAGTATGGTGTTTACGTGACCATTTAAATAATCGGATAACTGCAGAAATCTGATTATGATCGGATTATTGTGTGCATGTATACGCACTCAGTGTTTTTTCTTATACAAGCAGGTCGTCTTATATCCAGTTCTTATAGAAAAATCTAAAAAAGAAAAACTTGTACTTAATGGCAGTTTTTACTGGGAATTAAATGAATGATGGGTGGTCTCTGACTTTTGCACAGTACTGCATGTAGAAATCTTTCGATGCAAAGGTGAGTTTGGTCCACAGAATCATAGAATTTGCCAGATGTTTAGAATTTCATTCCAACAAGAGGGAAAACTACAGTTGTTGTAGATAAAACACAGATGCAAGTGTCTTATTCACGTCCTCTCTGTCCTCTAGTTTGCTCAGTGGGAGAATATCAACACTAAGGGATGAAACTGGAGCTGTAAGTAGCACCGTGACCTCTGCACATTCTCTCTATTCTATATTAAGTAAATGTCGTTGTATTTGACTTATATTGTAATCAGTGAACTAAAAATAGTGATTACGTCATTCAAATCGTGCAACCAACCTGAAAACATCAAATACTTTTTTGTACCACAGATATTTATTGACAGGGACCCAACAGCATTCGTGCCCATTTTAAACTTCCTTCGGACAAAAGAATTAGACCTACGGTGAGTTTTGACGTACTGATTGTGATGTAAACATATATGTCATATATTAGTGGAAGTACTAGGTATGATTTTTCATTAACTTCCAACTCTCTTATAGGGGGGTTAATATAAGCATTTTGCGGCATGAAGCTGAGTTTTATGGAATTACACCTTTAGGTATGACATACTCGGGCATTTATTAAGTTTACATTTTAAAACCCCATTTCCAAAAAAGTTGGGACGCTGTGAAAAATGTAAATAAAAACAAACTGCAATGATGTGCAAATCATTTAAACCCTATATTTCATTGGAAATGCTTTAAAAAACATATCAAATGTTGAAACGGAGAAATTTTATTGTTTTTTTGAAAATTATTTGTCCATTTTGAATTTGATGTCAGCAACACGTTCCAAAAAAGTTGGGACGGGGGCCTGTTTACCACTGTGTTCATCACCTCTTCTCTTAACAACACTCTGTAAGCGTTTGGAAACTGAGGAGACGCTGCTGTAGTTTTGAAAGTGAAATGTTTTCCTGTTCTTATATAGGATTTCAGCTGCTCCACAGTTCAGGGGCTGATTTGTCATATTTTTCATTTCATGTCTTCGAAGCATTTTCAGTGAAATACAGGGTTTAAATGATTTGCACATCATTGCATTTTGTTTTTATTTACATTCTGCACAGCGTCCCAACCTTTTTGAAGTGGGGTTGTACTATACATTGCAAATAGAGTGAGTTCATTAATTTTATTTTCCCCTTTTTACACCTTTTGTCTGCTGTTAGTTCGACGTTTGCTGTTATGTGAGGAGCTAGAAAGATCATCATGTGGAAGTGTGCTTTTTCATGGATACCTCCCACCGCCAGGTACTATGTGCTCATTAATAGGACAAGTATTGACCACAAGGCTGGCATGAAAACTTAATTAAACTTGCTTGATTACTGGATTTAAAAATAATAGTTGATTAAAAGTTACCTTCTTGATAAATCTGCAGTAATTAATAGCCAGTTTGCATGGTGATGCACATTTCAGATTCTCTTATAAATCACTGTTTCAGTAAGAAACAGCCTGATAAACACCCCGTTTATATATTTAATGCTACATTTTGAAGTTTTGGGGATTTAGAGACTCCTGGGAAATCTTCCAGGAAATCCCACCTAATGTTTCTGACTTATTTTTTTTAAATTATTATTACAGGTTTTGGATCATTCTACAGAAATGTCCATTTTTGTGTCCCTAGCGTTTACAGATATATTACACATCAAAAACATGTTAGGGTTACAATTTATTTATATTTTAAAATAAAACAATAAGTTATTTTAACAATTACACCTTCTTGAGCCTCAATTCAGCAATATTGGTTATTAAATCAGTCATATAGAATTACAGTCACCACAGAGGTGCTCGTCCCCACAGTCGTGTGTGAAGGCTGAGGCCATATCCTGAAGAAAAAACATGTTTTTCTGCAATTTTAACTGCAATAATCTATACATGACTATGGAATATATGGATTAAATGACATAAAGAAAACAAACGCCAAATAAATATTATAAAATATATAATGAAAGTTCCCCAGGAGTCGTGTCACTGGTGTTACTGCGTAACAAAAAATCTCTTATTTTGAAATAAAAGTCACACTGATGACATCACTTGACTTCCTTTTACCTGTTTTCTGAGGATCTATGAAGAAAAGCTCATGGTGAGTCCACTGTGTCTTTCAGTTATCAGAGATTTTCTCATTTAGCTCATGATTTCATATGAAGCTTTTAGCTGAAGTCACTGGTGTGACCGACTTTATTCTGAGGTAACTGTGAAAAAACAGAACACAAATGGATTAAATTCCATATTTTAGTGGATATTCCATGATTGACAACATGTGGTTTGATGCTCTGTAGCAGTTATTTTGTAAAATGCATTTTTCATTAAAAATGTCTCTGGTGTTCCTTTATTATGTGTAACACCAATGAGGATCAGTAACACCAGTGACTCCTATGGACAGATAGAAAAGTGGACGTTTCTGTAGAATGACCCTTTTACAGGGCGACTCGCAGCAGCACAGTCAGTGTTTTTCAGTAATGCTCTTTACACTACAAAAAATCTTACCCAGGGCTGCAAATATTTAGTTCTGTTTAGTTGAATTGATTTTTGTTGTTTTATTGATTAATCAGCAAAATAATAGGCAGATCATTGTATTACTAACATGTATATGACAGCCTTAATTGACAGTTATGTTATTCTGGTTTGAGTGGCTTCATTAAATGTTAAAATGACTGATTTTTAATTGATTGTAACAGCATACAGTAAACCCAGCACACTTACACTGACAGTACTGGTCAGACTTCAGAGATTTTCTTGGCTTGTTTTTCTTACAGCTATTCCGGCCCGCAAAGCTGCTGGTGGGCAGACTGCAGCTGCTGCCGGCCAGGAGGAGCGCCCAGGCCCCAGTGGAGCAGAGGGGGGCTTCCCACGCTCCTGCCCACAGTCAGCCCTGCCTGGGCCTTCTGGAGGGGAGGAGTCAACAAGACTCGGTGAGTAACAAAGTTATTGCTTAATCCTACATGGTTCAGACGTTTTCAGGAAGGCAGATTTGGTTTAAAAAAAAGGTCTGGAAAGACAAGCAAATATAACAAAACAATCGAGAAGGTCTGGCTGCAGATGTGCACTCTCAGCCTGAAGTGCACCGCCAGCCTATTGATGACGTCAGTGCCGCTCTGCCACGTCATTGTTTGTCAGTTTTATGAGGAAAAACAGAACCACGAACTGCTGGGCAACAAGAGCTACACTGAATGTTTATTATAGTTGCCATACTGATAATAAGGTAATTAAATATAGAAACTTTCCAAATAAAACCTTCCACAGCGATCAGACATGAGTGTCGGCTTTATTTGCAGAAAAAAACAAAAAGGCTACTGAAACTCATGAAAGCCAAGCTGAAGACCATCAGAACTGGTTATCAAAAACTGTAATATTGATTAAAATAGAACTTAAGCGTTCTAGGAGGTTGTGACAGCGTACAGTCAACACAGCACCGATTACTTTCGCTGTCTTGTCAACGTTGTTACAACCTCCCAGAAAGTTGTCAGACAACGTTCATAACTTTCTGAGGAACTACATTTGAATGTTGTGACAGTGTAGAGAGCACCAAGCAGACGACGCTGTCACAACATAGCTGTGTTTGCAGGGCCGTTAGGAATAAAACCTGATGGTTTTGCTTCCTAACGGGAATTGGCTTGATGAAACATTAGGAAATGATCAAATGTATGTGGAATTAGTCCCAAAACAGCTGATTAAACAATCAAAATCCTTTACACTGTGATATCAACCCATCAGCGACTACTGGTCACCACCAGGAACCAACAGACACTTTTAATGGGTTCTATGATTTTTTTGAACAGGGAGGTTCATTAAATGTAACTCTCTAACCGTGTTATGGACGAAAAATGGATTAAGTGATGATGTCACTAAGCAGCAACAGCCAAAAGAAAAAAATAAACACCAAAAAGTCCTAAAATTTCTGTGTGTAGCCATTTATCCATGATGGATGAATTCCATATTATCAAAAACAGAAATGTTTTTGATTGGCCAAACTGATAACGGGAAAAGTCTGAGCCTACAGGCCGTAATGGCGTTTCTGGTTAGCAGCCCGCCAGTAAATTCACAGAAGATGTAAAATTCAAACTTCATTCTGCAGCTTTTTTTTTAGCGTGGAGTCCATTTAGCGACAAGTATGAATAGCCACGTTTACATGCAGCCTAATAATCCGACTAATATCTCAATCGGAATAGAATGCATCCATGTAAACACCTCAGTCAGAATAGTCTAGGGTTAGGGCTAACCCTAGTCTGATTGAGGCCGTTCGGAATACAAGTTCAGATTGAGTGAGGTGGGTAATCCTGTAAATAATCCATTAAATAGAAGAATAATATCCGTGTAAACGCCTGTATCTGATTACATTCCCTATCGGAAAGTTTACGTCCGTTCTGATCATGTTCGTCACGTCATAGTGAAAGTTTATACCGTTCAACATGGCGGAGCAGAAACTGGTCTGCAGAGGAGATGAAGTTTATGCTCTGATCTTTAAAAGACGGCGGTGGGACGGACGTCCAGCTTATGTGTCTCAGAACACGACGTCTTCCTCTCGGCCTTCTTTAATAAGGACATGTGAAGGACGTTTTCCTGAGTCTGACATCATTTTAAAGCAGTTAAAAACACAAGCGCTGCTCACTGCTGCTCATCTCACTCTGACTGGACTCACGTGATGCTTGCTGTCATGGTAACGTGTACTCTAAGTGGTTCTCCACACATGCGCGTCCTTTTTTGTATTACTTGTGTTGAGCATGTAAACGAAGATTTTCCACCAGATTGCTGAATAGAGTGAGCATAAACACCTCAGTCTGAATCTGTAATCAGAATGTATTCAATCAGATTGGCAAAAATCTTTGCATGTAAACACAGCCAGTGTGTCATCTAGAAGAAGAAGAATATTAAAATTTCCTGTTTCATCAAGCATCCATAAGTGTTTTCCTGCCATCTTGCAGCTCCAGTGTTAATGCTGCTTGCTGTGACTGGGAAGGCTCTGCCTTTATCTAGTTACATTTGCCCACATGAAAAATGAAGGAAATCAGAGTAAGAGTATACATGCGCTGAAAAACCCAGTTAGTGAGCTGAAATTCAGCTCTCTTTATCAGATTTCGTGAAATCCGATAATGGCCTTAATCTGATCTGAGAATGCTGTTTACATGATCACTTGAATAATCAGAGAACTGATGAAATCCATTAATGATTGGACAGTGATGTTGGTGCACATGTAAACGCGCAGACTGAAAATATGAACATAGCTAGCTTGTTATGCCGATGGCCCCTAGTAATTAATCAGCTTGACTCACAGGCTGAAAACCACTTGTGTAGATCCCAGTACAAAAAGGTATTGTGTTTGTGATGTTAGAACTGTGAGGGAAGCACTATTCCAGTGCAAACAAAAGAAATTTAAACTTATTAGCATTTCTCACAAAGAAGAATATTGAACATGTGTTATCAGATCAACTAGATCATTACATCTTTCTAATAAACAACTTAGTGCTCAGTCTCTGGATGGATGGATGGATGGATGGATAGACAGAACGATCGATCGATCACTTTATTAATCCCAGAGGGAAATTCTTCTATTGCAGCAGTACAAAGCACAGTAAAGAGCAAAACAAGAGCAAAATGAACAGGAGCAAAGTATTGCCGTACACCAGAGGTCACTAATAGGTCCTATTTTAATCAGTGTAGCTTTTCTAGCCTTTACGGTACGGCTTTGGCGGCCTGGGAGACTCAAAGACCAATCGCGTGTGTTGTAAATATCACACGTGACACTACTCAGCCAATCACATCTGTGCATTACGATGAGCACTGAGGCTGGAGTGAGTGACGCACAGACAGTCGAGGGACGAGGCGAGAAACAGCAGTCGGAGGAGAAAGTGAGTCAGAGGGAAGTTATTTCACATGTCGCACCCTAAAAAGAGAAAACTGACAAATGTTGTTGAAATATGACTGAACTGTACTTTACTTGATTTGATATTCAATTGTTGACTGTATAAGATGCTGATATACCTACTAGGCTACTTCAGTAAACAGTATATGGCACTGAATCATAATACAAGTCAGACATTATGATGTTCTGGACCTTCGCTTGAGGAAATTTTCTGTAACTGGACCTTACTGAATTTTAATTAAAGACCCTGGCAGTACACTATTTACAGATATATAAAAAGAAGGTAGATAAATAATACACTAAATATACTAAAATAATAAACAATAAGAGTGATGTTCAGTACAGAAATACTACGTAATTGTATGAATACTATGCAGGAGACAGTGCGGTGGTGCCTGTCCCTCCAGTGAAAGAGCTACTGACTATGGACTGTAGCAATAAATGTTAACAGTTGCACAGTTTAACTTTAACAATTTGACATTTATGGATTTATGAACACAGTGACAGTGCAATGTGCAATATTAGTGGACAAATAAACACAATAAAGTGGCAGTGCAATATGAGTGACGAGGTGTTGTACAGTGCGATCTTTACATTAATCAAAACAGTTCTTGTAGGTTGTGGGTGAGTATTGGTAAAACCTGCCATTATACCATGTCTGTGCAATGTTAATGAAGCATTATTTAAATAAGGAATGTTAGAATTTAATAAGAGATGAAGAACAGGATGTATATTATCTCCTCCAGTAGGAACCCCAGAGTAATTAGGTTACTCTCCATTTGTGAATCCTACATACTCCAAGACGATGCCTGATCTGGGTCTATGCAGACCATAAGATGAACAGATGAACAAGCATAACATTCAGGACATTGTCCAGCGGAGTGAAGAGAGCTGGTCTAGCTGAGTCCACTGTCTTTATCTTCAGCACAAAGAGGGAGGGGGAGGAAGCACCATAGCACCATAGAAACAGAGCAGGCCACTGACTGGCTGAGCAGCAGTGGGTGGGGAAAGCCATCTTAAAAGGGCTTTTATGTCCTCTGTGCGCAGCCAAGTCATGTGAGAGGAATGATGAGAGAGGCCGATTTTGTCGGCCTTCACAAAAGCACAGCTGGCTTGCGTCGGTACATAAAATCTGTAATGAGACGAAACTGCTTGATTCTGAGTAACTATAAGCATGACTGTCAGCAGAACTGGTATTTTAACGTTTCTGTTCTTGCATTCCAACTCCAGCATGACGTTTTAAACCAGTTAAAACGTTGGTACTGGCTGTACGTACATGTAACATAATGAATTAGTTGAGCTGGAAAGCTTTTAGACAAAATCTGTAAGTTGCTGCAAAATATATTTATCAGGCAGCACATAATTATCTAGAGGTTGTTATGATGGCAAACAGGCATCTGTCTAATGCACTAGTGTAGTGCTGTATATATACAGGTATACGGCATATGGCCACCTCTGAGGTGGCTGGTTCACCATATATCCACTTATAAATGGCCAGATGTGCTTGTGTCTGATTTTGTCCGTGATTTTGTCACTGACTGCTGAGAGCAGAGCTCAACCTAAGAATAGATAGATAGATAGATAGATAGATAGATTCAACTTTGTTATAGCTCAGTACAAGTACAAGGCAACAAAATGCAGTTAGGATCTACCAGAAGTGCAAATAGTAGCAGTAGTGCAAAACGGACAGTGCAGATGTGCAGTAACAGGCATAAATATGACGTATTTATGAAATACATAACTACATAATTTAAAAAGACATACTTTGTTAGCCCCCTTTTACCCTGTTCTTCAGTGGTCAGGACCCCCATGGACCCTCACAGAGCAGGTACTATTTGGGTGGTGGGTCATTCTCAGCACTGCAGTAACACTGACGGTGGTTTTCAGAAGTGTTTCTGAGCCCATGCAGCATTTCCACTACAGAATCATGTCTGTTTTTAATGCAGTGCTGCCTGAGGGCCCAAAGATCGCAGCCAGCAAATACTGGTTTTTGGCCTTGTCCCTTACATACAGAGATTTCTCCAGATTCTCTGAATCTTTTAATGTTATTATGTACTGTAGATGATGAAAAGCAAAAGTTCTTTGCTATTTTATGTTGAGAAACGTTATTCTTGAATTGTTGCACTATTTGAGTGGTGAACAGGGGTCATCTTTACTTCTGAAAGACTCAGCTTCTCTTGGATGCTCTTTTTATACCCAGTCATGTTATTGACCTGTTGTCAGTCAACCTCCAGGTGTTTTTGTTTTGTTTTTTTTAGTTTTTTTTTAGCATTACACAACTTTACCAGCCTTTTGTTGCCCCCGTCCCAACTTTTTTGGAACGTGTTACTGGCAGCAAATTTAAAATGGGCAAATACTTTTCAAAAGACAATAACATTTCTCAGTTTCAGCATTTGATATGTTGTCTTTGTACTATTTTCAAATAAATATAGGGTTTAAATGATTTTCATGCCATTTCCAGCTTTAATTTGCATTCCCAAAACTGTTTGGAGGCCTGTATAAGAGTACACTGCAGTACAGCAAGCAGCAAGCAGCTGTTGAATATGAAAGCATTGTGGAATAATAAAGATGCATAGTTAGATGTGGGTTTAAAAGAATTCCTAACTGTGTTTACCTTGCTTACAAAGGTTAGATGACGTTTGTTTTGTCTGTTCATCTGGATTTCAGCAGGATCACCAGTGGATCCCAGGAAGGTGTTAATAGTCGCTGGCCATCATAACTGGATTGTTGCTGCCTACGCTCATTTCGTCATTTGTTACAGGTAAAACTTCTCAAGCCTATTACGAAGCACATCGATGAGTGTAATCGGAACACTTGGACTCACCTTCTCAATGTGCCTCTGACTGTTGTGTAGGATAAAGGAATCCTCAGGATGGCAGCAGGTGTTCTCCAGTCCTTACCTGGACTGGGCCATTGAGCGTGTGGCCCTTAATGCGAAGGTAGTAGGTGGTCCCCATGGAGACAAAGATAAGATGGTGGCGGTGTCGTCAGAAAGCAGGATCATTCTGTGGAGCATACAGGATGGTGGAAGTGGGAATGAGATCGGTGAGAGAAAGGGGGGCTTAAACAAAATGGAAGAAAATGGCAAGACATCATGTGGCTTTTACCTCCGCTATACCTGATGAATGTCCCTCTATCTCCTTAAAGGTGTGTTCAGTCTCGGAGTGCCTGTCGACTCTCTGTTCTTCATTGGGAGTCAGTTGGTTGCCACCAGTCATACTGGGAAGGTTGGGGTGTGGAATGCAGTCACTCAGCACTGGCAAGTAAGAGCATTCAGTTAAAAACTCATGCCACGGGATTTGAGATTAAAAAAAGCTGTTTTCAATCAATCAAGCAATCAATCAATCAATCAGTCAACCTTTATTTAACCTCAGAGAACATTGAGGGTGACCCTCATTTAGTGTTGCTAAGTTGATACAGGAAAAGGGATTGACCGTGTGTAAGAACATATCAAATAATAAAAGCAAATTTAATTAAAAAATGGTTCAAATCAGGTAAGTATAAAAAAATTAAACATTAATAATAAACATACATAATAGAAAATAGAAATAGAAAATATAAAACAATAATTAAAAAGTAGCAAAAATGTAAAAGTTAATAAAATCCAAATCCAAATAAAGTAAAAGAAGAATATCAAAAAGTAAACTAAAAATTCATTAAAATGACTAAAATAATAATAAAATAATTATAATTAAAATAAGAATATGAATAATAATAATACATAAACAAACCAATAAATAATAAAATAATGAAAATCAAACAATAATACTGAAAAATCAGCAACAATTGTTTGTGTTTGCCACATAAATAAGGCTTAAGGTAATCCTGTTTTACCACAACACACCTGACCCAACAGACGAAGGGCTTAATGACCGGCTGATGAGTTGGATTAGATTTGTTGGGGCAGAGAATAGTTGAAACTGTGCAGGTCACTGGGTCCTAGAGCAGGATTAATAAACACTGCTAACATTAATTGCTTACTGAAAGTAATACATTACTGTTAAAAGCAGTTCCACACATTTTTAAACTTTTCTGTACTCAAATTGTTAAGATGTCATTCAGAGCGGCTCGATGTGAAATGTGCTGTTCTAGAGAAGCTTAATGATTCAGAATTATTTACGGTGGTGGTGAGAGGAACCAGACGTCTGAAGAGTTTTATGGCTCTAAAACAAATACATTGAAAAGTATTACAGTAAATGGTTATTTATGGTGCCTGAGACATTGGCCCAATCCCATTTCACCCCTCGCCCCTACCACCGAGCCCTTAGCCCTCTGTTTTGCGCATTCACGTCTAGGGGTAGGGTGTCCCGATTCTTGTTGAGATAGAGGGGTAGGGTGTAGTGTTGGGGCTACATGACCCTCCAAACGGAGGTTTTTCAGAGACTCCAAACAGAGAGTTATGAGAAAAAAAGAAAAACCAGCAAGATGGAGAACAAGAGATCAAAGAAACCCAGAAATGTGAGAATTTTCTCCGTTAAAAAATTATGATAACCACTGTTTTATCTTAGTTTAATGTTGTTTCAGTGTATTTTGGTCGTTTTCTTCATAACTAGAATAAAAAAATCACTAATAGCATGCTAATGTCTCGGTAGCTAGCTAGCTAACTTTCCTGTTCCACCAGAATGTAACTGCTGCTCCATTTAAAGTGGAACAGGAAAATTTGAACAAGAATCTGGTGAATATCTGACTTCAGCTTCATATCACTGAAGAATTAGCAGTGGGCGATAATAATAAACCCCCTCTTTGAAGGCAAATGATTAATAACAATTATTTGAAACTGTTTGACACCCCTATTTTTCTTGTATGCCACTTTTTATAAAGCAAGGTGTGGAGATGAGGTAGACCCATTCTTTTTTGTGCAGGTGCAGGACGTTGTGCCCATTACAAGCTGTGACACTGCCGGGTCCTTTCTGCTCCTGGGTTGCAACAATGGCTCTATTTACTACATTGGTAAGTCAGTGACTTCAGCTACAGTCAAATCTAGCTGTATATTAGCTGAGCTAAAATATAGCACAGGAATCAGCAGCGTGACATTGACGTTGTTTTATCCTTTTAGTGCCGCATTTTCACAAAGCTAAATGACCCATTTCGAAGTAACTGCTGCAGCCACTGAAATCTGCTAGTGTTATTTAGCTTGAATACAGCCGTTAGTTCCGGCCACACAAGCTGATTGGTTGAGCAGTGCTCTAACCGTGCTGTTATTTCACCATAACATCACGTATTTTTCACAAACACTCTATCACTCCGCTGAGACGCCGTTGCTAAGCAACGACTTCGACAGCTGTAGGAGACGCTCAAGACATTTGAACGTTTTTACTTCTTACTTTGCCACAAACAGAAAATGGACACTTTAAAGATCACATTTGACCGCCAGCCGATTTGGTCAGACTCTGAAGATGAGACAACACTAAATTCCCAAACTGTCGTCACCACTGAGCAGCTTTTCAGTCGGCAGCTGAGACAGAAGAACAGCTGAACAACCTGGAATCAGCCAGAAATGAACCCAACACCATTCGCCAAACTAAATGGGCTGTAAGATGCTTTACAGACTGGCTGGAACAAAACAACATTAATACTGATCTGGCAGAAACTGACATAACTGAGCTGAACTTGATATTGGGGCAGTTTTATGGCTCAGTCTGATTTGGTCAGACTCTGAAGATCAGACTACACGGTTAGCGAATGGGTTCATTTCTGGCTGATGAATGAATATTACACACATGATGGAAACGATTCATAAAGGACCTTAAATGCATTCTCGCCTTTTTCAGACATGCAGAAGTTCCCACTGAGAATGAAGGACAACGATCTCCTGGTGACCGAGCTCTACCATGACCCCTCAAATGATGCCATCACAGCACTCAGTGTCTACTTAACACCCAAAACCAGTAGGTGACCTGTAGCAAACTGAACATGATTATATTAAACTGCTCTAAGCCCTTTTTAAGTTGCTGCTTGACACCATCTAATGTTTTTCACTGCACCGTGTTGCTGTGTTTAGGATTAACTGTCTGGAATTTGGATCTAACGTTACTGAATATTGTGCCTAGATGCTAAACTCATTGTGTTTGCAGGTGTGAGTGGAAACTGGATAGAGATCGCTTATGGCACCAGTTCAGGGGCAGTGCGCGTAATAGTGCAGCACCCAGAGACAGTGGGATCTGGGCCACAACTCTTCCAGACCTTCACAGTCCACCGCAGCCCTGTCACTAAAATCATGCTGTCTGAGAAGCACCTGGTATCAGGTAACATTGCTCTTAAGTGGATATGAGACAAGGATGGTAAAATTTATTCAGTAATAACTTCTACACTGTAGACTGAAATACTACAGCGTAGACACCAGAAGGTATTTTAAGATGGTTTATTCATTATTCAGTAAGTATTTTGGGAAAATAAAGAAGATATAAAATAATAAATAATATACTATGACTATTTACATACAGTAATTCGATTACTAGGTGTTGTGGGGGGTTAATTTTATACTTAATTATCAATGTTATGCAGATTTCTTTATCACTATCAACATATATATACATCAAATCATTTGATGTATTACATACTACACTACAGCTGTAGTGTAGTATACTGTATATATTGTCTTTATAGTATTATGTGTATATATACATATATATATATTATTCATAGATATATTTATAATTGTGTATATATTGTTCATATAGTTATATATTTCATAGATACGTCATATTTATGCCTGCTTTTTCACATTTGCACTGTCCGTTTTGCACTATTGCCGCTATTTGCACTTCTGGTAGATGCTGACTGCATTTCGTTGCCTTGTACTTCTGCTGAGCAAAGACAATAAGGTTGAATCTATCTATCTCTCTATCAGCATCATAATAGAACCATTTTATACATGTACTTCCAATGTGATTCCCCACTTCTAAACTGTGACTCCAGACTTTGGAATGCTCTTGAGCACAGAGGGTGCAAAGATACTGAGGTGAATTGTGTTAATGCAGAGGCATCTTTTCAGAAATCATTGGAACACCTGGGAATGTGTCTTTCCCTTCAACAAAAACTATTTTGTGCATTTAATGATAGAGAAAAGAGTAAAAATGACTGGGAATGGGGCAGATGTAAACAGTATGCTACCATTTTGTGTTGCAGTGTGTGCTGACAATAACCACGTGCGAACCTGGACAGTGACGCGCTTCAGAGGCATGATCTCCACCCAGCCGGGATCAACGCCGCTGGCTTCCTTTAAGATCATCTCCCTGGAAGAGACAGAGAGCCACAGCAGCTACTCCTCTGGCAACGACATAGGTGAGAGTGATAGTCATCACATGAACTGAGTTAAACTATTGGGCTCATATGAAGGTGAAAATTCTTTCACCAAAAAGACTGAAACTCTCCACTTGGTCCCTTTTTCTTGCCACAGTCAGCTTGCAGGATCCCTCTGCTCACCACTAGTGGGCATATCTGAGTCAGTTTTATTATGGAAATGAAGGAACCATATCAGACTCTGTGCTTTTGCAGTTCTCAGAATGCATCAGTCGTCCATATAAGTTAGAACGTTAGCTCATCCAATCTCGCTAGCTAGCTGAGCTAGCTAAGGAAATTTTCCTGCTTGACTCCATGCAAACGGCCGCATCATTTGCATGAAGTAAAAATCTGCTAAATGTTTTTTTACGCACACCAAGGCAGATTTTGCTGCAATTTAAGTGAACATGAACCACAGAGCTCTCCACTGAAATTAATAGGATGTGGCAAGGCGAAGATGCAAGTGAAGGTGTACCATTATTATGCTTATACAGGGAGATTCACTCGAAAGAGGCCCCAAATATTCTGTAATAACTGTCTCTAGGATGACGCAATCTTAACAAAACAACGTGCAATGAGCTCCTCAGTATATGGAGCTTCGAGCAAGCCAAGATGCCCCTGCATTGAAGCAATGAGGTTGCACATCATAGGCTCCATTTTCTTTGACACCACCGTGAACACCGATGTGTACCTGGACATTTCTGAACAGTTTGTGAATCAGCTGGATGATCATGAGTTAATGGAAGGTTACTTCCAGCAAGATGGAGCAACGTGTCACACATCAGCAAGGAGCATGGCAGAAATGGGCCACCACAGTCAAAGGGGCTTTGGCCACCACAGTCACCGGATCTGACACCACCAGACTCCTTCCTTTAGGGTATGATCAAAGGAAAGGTCTATCGGAACCAGCCTCGCACTGTGGAAGATTTGAAGAAAGACATCCAACGTGAAATTGCTGCTATTCCCCCCGATATGCTTGCCGATAGTTCAGGAACATGGAGCGCTGCGTCGAAATGTGTCTGGCAGAAAACGGAGATCACTTCCATCATCGCATGTAATGCAATCGATTAAACATACGTCAAGGTATGTAGTGTATTTTTTTGGTTCGGATTGCTTCATCCTAACGGGAGATACAACAGAATATTCGGGGCCTCTTTCAAGTGAATCTCCCTGTACAAACAGGAGACAAGTATACACAACGTGATGCATGTATTATTCCATGTAGGTCCTTTTGGAGAGAGAGATGACCAACAAGTGTTTATTCAGAAAGTTATCCCCATAACCAACAAACTCTTTGTCCGTCTGTCTTCTACGGGAAAGAGGTATGTATGGAAAAACGGCCCATTATGACACAGATCAGGTATGATAGTGTTAATCTGATTATGATTCAAAATTTGTTGTAATTATACATTTTGATTCTTTGCCTTTAGTACAGCTAAAGAGTATTTACAGGGGAAGATGCAAGTGAACTACCTAATACCAGCCACAATTAATTTCTTATATCACACCTCTGCAAACTGGCCACAGAATGTCTCTTTACACCCCCTAGTGGCTGAATCGCCACGAACACACTTTAACTTAGTACTATGGGAAACCACTGTTCTCCCAAGGTACTAAACAGTGTTTCATTTAGTATATCGCTGCTGTCAGAAGAAAACCTTGTTTCTCCATTTTTGTCATTTTTCAGTTTTTATCATAATTTATAAATGCCTGTTTCCCTTTACATTGTGTGTAAATTTCATGATGAATGGACCGAAATAAACGGCCCAAAATGACTTGGAAAAAATCTGGTTCCATTGACTTACATTAAAAGTAAAATATGTTTTTTCCTTCTCCTGTAAAGTTACCATTTTGGAGATACAAGGTTTTCTTCTGACAACAGCGATATGGGTCAGCGCCATGCTGTGCATTTTTTGTGTCCATTACTTTCTATTAAATAAATAAATATATAACTTACACATTATCATACAATACCTCTGTATGTGAATACATTTTCAAGTTATCAAAAATAAAATTTTATGCATTTATGCCTCCCCAAGTCTAAAATTTCAGGTGGTGTGACCAGCCAACTATATGTGCAGATGAAATAAACTATTACAAACTGTAAATCAGCCAAATAAAATTCTAAATAAAAAGTAGTTCAGCATGATTTTATGTCTGAAACCTTAAAAACTGTAACGTTGCATAATAGGGCAGCTTTAAAAGTAACTGAAAAACTTTTGTCTGTAAATTCTGCTTTCCTGAGATGTCTCATCTCTTTGATAATGAAGGACTTTTATACTAACATGCCTCTAAGAATTTGTGCCAGCAGCTATAACTTTTTGGAAAATGTCATTGTTTTCTGGTTCGTCGTGTGTGGGGCGAAACTGAGTTGCAGCCACAAGCTGTGTGTGAAAGCCTCAAAGGCTACGTTCACACGGCAGGTAAAAGGGGCCCGAATCTGATTTTTTTGGTTTGGCTGTTCAAAATACACCAATCAGGCATAACATTATGACCACCTCCTTGTTTCTACACTCATCGTCCATTTTATCAGCTCCACTTACTATATAGGTGCACTTTGTAGTTCTACAGTTACAGACTGTAGTCCATCTGTTTCTCTGATACTTTGTTAGCCCCCTTTTACCCTGTTCTTCAGTGGTCAGGACCCCCATGGACCCTCACAGAGCAGGTACTATTTGGGTGGTGGATCATTCTCAGCACTGCAGTAACACTGACATGGTGGTGGTGTGTTAGTGTGTGTTGTGCTGGTCTGAGTGGATCAGACACAGCAGTGCTGCTGGAGTTTTTAAACACCTCAGTGTCGCTGCTGGACTGAGAATAGTCCACCAACCAAAAATATCCAGCCAACAGTGTCCTGTGGGCAGCGTCCTGTGACCACTGATGAAGGACTAGAGGATGACCAACACAAACTGTGCAGCAGCAGATGAGCTATCGTCTCTGACTTTACATCTACAAGGTGGACCGACACGGTAGGAGTGTCTAATAGAGTGGACAGTGAGTGGACACAGTGCTGAGAATGATCCACCAAGGAGGTTTATATATTTAAATTTGGATTCAAAGTTTATACAGTTGTCCAAATATAGACTAGTTATTACATGTTTTCAGTAGTGCCAAGTTGCGTATGGTTGCGCCACCTGACATCTAGAAATGAATTTATACCATTTATCAAAGCTATGAAACAAATATCAATACGTTGAATAGATTTTTGCAGACACAAAAATCCATGTCATATTATTTTTAGTAAGAATTTTTTAATTATATCAGTTTTAAAGCCTTATTTGTCACTGACCCATATACATGCACTCACTTATTTCAGGCTTATGTTTAATAGCTGTAAATATAGCATAGTTTCACAGAATGTCCAGAGTTTTGAAAGCATTTCTAAGCAGCTAAAAAGATTCTGTCATATACCTAATATATTTCACATTCGTTGGAAACAGTTGAACTAATTCTGGTCCTGGAAGGCCGGAGTTCAGCACAGCGTATTGATTTTCCTGCTTAAACACAACATATTTATCTAACTGTGAAGTTTAATATGTGTTTGAGCAAGAAAATCACCAAACCGTGCTGAAATCTGTCTCTCCAGGCCCAGAACTGATGGATTAAATTTATAGCCAGTGCTAACATGTTATTACTTGAATTGCAGGATCTGCGAGGTGCAGGCAGTTGACGGCACCACCATCACCTGTTTTACGGTGCGCGAGTGTGAAGGCTCCAGCCGCATGGGCTCCCGCCCGCGCCGCTACCTCTTCACCGGGCATGCCAACGGCAGCATCCAGATGTGGGACCTAACCACAGCCATGGATACGGTCAACAAAAGTGATGACAAAACAAAGCGGGACGCTGCTGGTGGGACATAACAGTCCAGTTACTATATAGGGAATGTTATTGTGTAAGAAAGTTTGATTATTGAATATTATAACAATTGCCATATTGTTTTTCTGAAGAAGTGGGAGGGCCCACAGAGGAGGAGCTTCTGAAGTTGCTGGACCAATGTGACCTGAGCACATCGCGCTGCGCGACGCCCAACATCAGCCCCGCCCCCTCAGTGCTGCAGCACGGCCGTCTTCGAGAGTCCTGCTCCAGGTCAAGACCTGCTCTCACTTCCGGTCACTTTAAAGCACTGAGTTCTGTCAGCGTGCTCCCGCTTTAATGACTGCTGCACTATAAACTGGAGACTTCAAGGGGAACTCCATCGATTTTGTAAAATGTATTAATCATTTAATGGTTTACATGTAAACAGAATCATTCAGAGTGGTTTGGTGTGAAATGCGCCTTTCTAGAGAGATTTACAGAGTCAAAATTGTTCCCCATTATAGTACTAGGAGCCATATACATACATACATACATACATACATCATCTAAACCGCTTATCCTTCTGGGTCGCGGTGGGGTGCTGGAGCCTATCCCAGCTGTCATTGGGCGGAAGGCAGGATACACCCTGGACAGGTCGCCAGTCCATCACAGGGCAGACAGACAGACAGACACACAGTCACACACACATTCACACCTAGGGGCAAGTTTATCATGTCCAATCAGCCTGACTGCATGTTTTTGGACTGTGGGAGGAAACCCACACAGACACGGGGAGAACAGGCAAACTCCACTCAGAGATGACCCTGGTCACCCGGCCGGGAATCAAACCCAGGCCATTCTTGCTGTGAGGCGACAGCGCTACTGTGCCGCCCTAGTACTAGGAACCAGATTAGTAAAATTATTTAAAACAAGTTAAAAACATCTAAAAATAAATTACATAACTTATAATCTTGTAATAAGTTTACAACACTTTCTACATGAGAAATGTCAGATAAATCAAATGTGACACTAAACCATTCCTGTAAACATAATCTGTCTAAATTTGTCCGCTGGAGTACAGAAATCATTGACCAGTGAAGTGTTGGCTTTTGAACACTGCAGTTTAAAGGGGAACTCCACCCATTTTGTAAAATTACTTAATCATTCAGTGGTTTAGATGTGAACGAAACTCATTCAAAGTGGTTTGGGTCAAAATTGTTCACCATTACAATACTAGGAACCAGGCGCCGTATATCTACACTACAAATATCACCATTTTATCTAATTTTAAATAATTGCACTTTCCATGTATGGGATGCAAAGCACAGTTCTCTAGTGAGGATTAAAAAACAACTAACATAAGCTTTTTTTCTCTAGTAAGGGATAAAAAGTAATAAACCCACAACACAGAATCACTGGAATAATCCAAACTGGAGAGTAAACCAGTGAAACATCCTCTAACATTTGTTTTCTCCTCAGTCTCCAGCTGCAGACCCAAGATCCCATTCCAGAGACGGCCACGTACGGAGCCCTGCGGCCATACAGAGAGAGCCCCCTGCTGGCCCGTGCCCGCCGCACCGAGAGCTTCAACAGCTACCGTGACTTTCACAGCCTGAACCTGGCCAAGGTCCTGATGGAGCACAATGGGCAGTGCGGTGCGGAGGACGAGGCACGGCAGCAGAGTGACAGCAACGGTGAAGACGGGGACAAGAAGAGTTTGGCTACAGAGCAGTGGAACTCTAGGGCCTCAGAGAGTCCAGCAGCAGCCTTCAGCCGCCAGGCCCCAGACAGCCCTGGAGACCCTCGCCGCAGGACCCACTCGTCCGACGAGGGAGCTTCAGACTGCCGGCCCGAGGGCAGGAGAAGGGGGGCGTTCGAGGGGAATTTCCTGAGCCGGAAGAGGGCACCTCCGGTCCCTCTGCTGAGCTCTGTGCCTATGGGGGCTGACACAGGAGGCAGTGACTCCTCCAGCACTGCCTCACCCTCTCCAACTAAAGCATCCACTTCCCCACGCCACCGCAAAGGCCCAGACACGACGAGCGAGTGATGCCTCGTGCACTGTAAAGTGTACAGCAGTGGTTCTCAGCTTCTCCTGCCCTGCATATTTTAGCCTTTTCCCACCCTCTTCAACTCAGCAAGGGCTCGTTAATAAGGATAAGGTGAGTTAAAGCAGCGATTCTCAACCTGTTTGAGCCACGAGGCCCCCAAAATTGGAATAGGATTAAGTTTTCAGTTCCCCTTAAAATACACTACAGAAACCTTCTACACATTTCTCCAGTGAAACACACTACAGCAGCTTTCTTCTCTTATGGGACCAGGGCTGTCAAAAATTCACAATTTGAATATTCATCAAATTTAATGAAATAAGCAGAACAAGTTCATTCGAATGTTTAAAACCTTTGCTGTGGCTCATAATGTGTTCTAAGCCAGTTGGTAATAATATCACTGACAGGACTACCAGATAGACAGAAGAACATAACTTTGCCAACTAGGCCTCCTGATATCTAAAAGTAATAAGTGGCTTATGCCTGATTCTCACATGCTGCCTTCGCATGGCGTGAGCAGTGCGGCAGCGTCCTTTCATATATACAGCACTTGTGCTGTGGAGCGGAGCAGCGAGGAAGTTGGATGGGTGGAAGGATGGATAGATAGATCACTTTATTAATCCCAGGGGGAAATTTTTCTATTGCAGCACTTCAAAGCACAGTAAAGAAGAAAACAAGAGCAAAATGAACAGGAGCAAAGTGTTGCCCTACACTACATACAGATATATAAAAAGTAGGTAGAGATAAATAATACTATAAAATATACTGAAACAATAAATAATAAGAGTGATGTGCAGTACAGAATACAAAGTAATTGCATCAATACTATGCAGGAGACAGTGCGGTGGTGCCTGTCCCTCCAGTGAAAGAGCTACTCACTATGGACTGTTAACAGTTGTACAGTTTACCTTTAACAATTTGACATACATGGAATTTATAAACAAAGTCACAGTGCAATATGAGAGATGATAAACAAAATAAATAAACTAAGTTATACCTACATTCCTTTTTCCAGATGAATAAATAGATCAGTCACTCGGCTCAATAAAGAAATAATTTATAAAAGAGCACAATTGTTTACCCAAGACAGCCTTCTGACTTGAATGGGCAATGACTTCAAGTCTGGTAGACCATCCAGGAAACCTGTTTGCAGCACAGAATGTTTAACTAGTGTTTCGTTTCATAACATACATTAATGAAATTAAAGCATTAGTGTTTTTAAGTTTTTATTCACATGATAAACATTAATTTAGAAGGCTTTTACTGCAGCTATGCTCCCTACTTATTTCCTTTGCAAAATAATAATTTCATTTTGTAAAGTAACGTATTTAAAATTCGAATATATTTCAGCATTTGACAAACAAACAAAGAAAACATTCTATTTTTACGTTTACATTTCCCTTCTGCGTGCACTCTGTTTCACTCCTGCCGCCGGGAGGTTATTGTTGTGGGAGAATTTAATGAAAAAGACGTTCTTAAAAAAAACAGTGCAAAAAATGTGCCAAAAAATTAAGCTTTTAATGTTCTTAACAAGAACTAAACAAATAGAATTAAACTAATATATAAATTAGGGGGTGGGGTCGTTTGGGAGAGATTTTCCCTTTGATCTTTAAGTGTTGAAGTGTGGTGGGAAAACTTGCAGACCACTTTTTTTACAGTAAGAAAAGTCAATATGGTTTCACTCAGCATTGATGGTTTCAGACAGTTGAAAAACATTCCAGTCTAAGTTGTGTTTAATGTGAGACAAAATACAGGGTGATTCACAAAGGTTCATCTGATTTCAAAATGATTTACTTCACTTGTAAATCATTACAGATCAGTGCAGTGAACTGTAAATGGTTTAAATGAGCATAAAGTTTATTATGTAATTGTACAAGGTCTCAGTCTGAACCTCCTCCAGCTGTACAGACAACATCAACGCCATAGTCAAACTCATCCCATACTGGATTGAGCATGTCGGGTGTCGCTGCACTCACGGCTCTTTCAGTGCGATTTCGGAGATCATCCAGTGTTGTGGAACCAACGCCGAACGCTCTGAGCTGTTGGAGCTTCACTGCCCACGAAAATCACACTGCACAGTTATGACTGATTCACTCTTATTGAAGTGGAGAACGCAGAACGCTTTCTGCTCAGGGGTCTCATCTCCTCTCAGACTGAAGGGAGCCATCTTCCACTGACAGGCAGACACTCTATGGCTTCGTTCACACAGCAGGTAAAAGTGGCCCAAATCTGATTTTCTCACCAAATCAGATTTTTTTGTTTTGCTGTTTACATTATCTTTTAAATGTGATCTGTATGCGACATCAGTCTGAACAGATCCGCTCCTAAACTGGCCCGCATGCACAAAAGAACAATTTGTCATGTGGCTCATCCAGAGGTAAACAATCACAACTGCCAACGAACCTCAGTCGTTCGTTGGCAGGGTCAGGAGGGTTCAGTTTCACCTTCTCCAGCATCACAGGAGCATCATGAAGCTTCATTGACTGACAGCTGGGCTCATCACCCACAATGTGTTTGAGCTCGCTGTAAAACGGGCACGTTAGTCGGACACGGTCACTTCTTTGGGTCGCGTCCTCGGATTCTTTAAACTTTGCTTTCAGACTTTTCTGTGACGCTGCAGCCTCGTTCTCCTCCGGCTGCGTTCAGTCATTGCTTTAGAAATCCCTTCGAACACGGAGGGTTTTGAATGAGTCTCTTCTATTTTTTTTACAACAGAAACATCAGCCTAAATGTTTGAGTCTCAGCGTCGCGAAATTATGACGAATGCAGAGTTGAATTTACGTAAAAGTGAACATGAATTCCTATCTGGCTGTTCAGACTGAGTCGCATTGCCGCAGATCTGATTTCAGTACCACACATGAAAGCGCCTCAATCGGAATTGAAAATGTCAGATTCAGTGTGTTTGTCTGTTCACACTGACACACATCTGTGTTACATATGAGGAAAAAGATCAGATTTGGGCCACTTTCACCTGCTATGTGAACAAAGCCTGTGACCTCTTTCAGTTGGATTGTGATTGGTTCCTAGGCGCCTCACGGTTGGAAAAATATGACGCTTTGATGATGAATCTTTTTGAATCACCCTGTATTTTCTATAGGGTTTAAATCTGAACTCTGACCAGCCAAAACCATCAGTAAAAAACAGTATTTTGGGCTCTATTTGTTGCTCAGGAATGCAGGCCTGTATTTTGTTGAAACAACCGTCCTATGAACCTCCAAAATGTCCCTCTACGTATTGAGAACCGCCATGTTAGAACATGGACAGCACCAAATATGCAGGACAGGGGTGCTTGAGTGCCAGAAGTGAGAACCACTGGTCCACAAGTTACTACCAAAAACACGAACAGTCACTGTTATTAGCCCACACTGAAGCGGTGGGGTTATCAGTAACATATCACTATATATCTACATATCTCAGACATTGGTGGAAGTGGAGCTGAAATACCTGTACAGAGCACGGCTGGCTGTTTGCTTGCTAGCTTTTTAGCATGCGTTCATAGTACTTAAGTTGCTTTTTGTTGCTCTCAGTACCCATTACAGACTTTTTACCGACTTCTAAAGCACTTTAGTCCACTTAGTGTCTGTCAGTGTCTGTTACCTGCAAAGGAGTAACAAATTAATGTTTCACATAACAAGATACAAAATTCTGCAGGTTTAGACAGGTGAACTACAACGAACTGACAGTTAGATTTCATTCTACTACCACAGATAGTGAAGTCCTGTAGGCCTTATCCATATTTTGTTTTCTTTCTATAAACTAACGGCACTTTATTTTGGTGTTACAGCGTCTAATGAAGGGAATATTCAAGTTTTTGCCAGGTGCCTTTGATAGAGTCAGTTCTTTGGCTTGTTACATGATGTAAAATTCAGTTCTTTTGTCACTTCTTCTCTATGGTTGTGAGATCTGGAGGTAGTTTGTGAAGAGAGATTGGTTAACACTTCAGTTCATAAGGCTACATGACCCTTAAGCTCATAAACGTACATCCAGGCTTATTCCAGGTGTCATCCTCTGTCATGAAGGCTACTTTTGTCAACTTTGACGTCAAATTGATAATGTCAGATCTGCCACTGGGTTATGTTGACACTTATAACACACAATGTAACAGCTGACTTTGTGGCTTAGCGTATATCACAGTGACATAATGCTGATAGTGTGAAAGCTTAAAGCTTATAAATGGTCAAAATGTACTCACTTTAGCTAGCACTGCTGTGTCTGATCCACTCAGACCAGCACAACACACACCAACACACCACCACCACGTCAGTGTGTTACTGCAGTGCTGAGAATGATCCACCACCCAAATAGTACCTGCTCTGTGAGGGTCCATGGGGGTCCTGACCACTGAAGAACAGGGTAAAAGGGGGCTAACAAAGTATCAGAGAAACAGATGGACTACAGTCTGTAACTGTAGAACTACAAAGTGCACCTATATAGTAAGTGGAGCTGATAAGATGGACAATGAGTGCAGAAACAAGGAGGTACTCATAATGTTATGCCTGATCGGTGTATGATGCCTACTGGAATGTTTGTGAAGAGCCTATGCAGGTGTCGTGTAGCCTTATGAACACTGGGATTACTGCAGATGTTGGTTTTATGAAATTAGGCTAACTTTGCACAAAATCCTGTTTTACAGATGAAACTTTATCCAGGTTCATTACATTATTCATTACCCACAAAAGTGTCTCAGAGCCAATGAGCAGCTATCAGTTTGGTTTATTCAATTCAGTTTGAGTTATATATCAGATAGTGTGGTGTTCTGACGTTACTGAGTCTTTAAAGCTTTTTAGGTCATTTTGTCGTCTTTTGTAACTGGTGAGTTCAGCTCAGCCTATTTATTTGTGTGAATTTTATTGTGCACTATTAAATATTACTCCTCTAACTCTGCATTGACCTGTGGCTGCTAGCCATCCGGTGGATGATGGTGATTACCATCAGCAGTGCCGAGAGAGGTGGCGCACTGTCAGCTGACTGCAGTAATGTCCCACCAGGCATTGGATTGGAAACGTCGGTCGGACGTTTTAGACGTCAGACGTTGTAGAGGACGATGCTGGTGTAAGTGTAACCGAGCCTCAGTATTAATTCTGTTACATATTTGCTTTGTTAGATGTTGCCTTTCTCTGCTTTACTTAACACTACAATGATGTTCAAACAGGCATTTTTTTTTTTAATTTTATTTAACCAATGTTTGAGGTTCTCAAAGACGACAGATCTTTCTGGAATGAAGCTGTTTCATAAGATATGCAATGTGTTTAGAGTGTGTTTAGTAAACGTTGCTGTTTGAGTCGGCAGTCAGATGTCTGCAAAGTTGTCACTATATATCTTTATAATTATCTTTATAATTATAGTGCTTACATAATATATAACCCATATTATTTTGGATTGCATTTGCACTCGTTGTGAAGATGTAGTGTTTAGCTCTATATACACAGATGTTAAGCTAATTATACTTCTCTGTTGCTCCATTGTCACTTTCTGCTTAGCCACGACTTGGCTGTGTTTACACTTTTAATCCTACCAGAGAGAAATGTACAGTATATCACTATTGACGTGGCATATCATGGGTTTAACATTCATTGTAAGCCATTAATGTGCATTATATGTTATTTTATTATGTAATACAGGGAGATTCACTCGAAAGAGGCCCCGAATATTCTGTAATAACTCTCTCTAGGATGAAGCAATCTGAACCAAACAACGTGCAATGAGCTCCTCAGTATATAGAGCTTCGAACAAGCCGGGATGCCCCTGAGTCGGAGCGATGAGGTAGGCACCGGACAGCCATCATGACGTTTAACCTCCCTTGTACCCCTTCACTCGGTCACTCGACTTCTCATCAGGATGGTGGTGTACAGTGCGTCAAGGTATGCAGCATATTTTTTTGGTTCAGGATGCTTCATCCTAACAGGAGTTACAGCAGAAGATTCGGGGCCTCGTTCGAGTGAATCTCCCTGTACATCAGTTCTTGTGCATTTGAAAATATGAGGGAATGACTAGTAGTAATGCATTACGTGCCACACTTCCAGTTTTGGTGTGCCTCATTAGCAGACTTCAGTTGTCACTACACAAAATGAGTTAACTGCCCAGATTAGTGGTGCTTTTATTGGTGCAAAACTGCCCACATACTGAGTATTATTATTATTAATATCACTAAAATTTTGGTAACTGCACAGTTAATCAGTGATGGACCAACCATCGCTGTGCAAGTGGAGCAACTGGTATAAAGAGGGAGACTTCTTTAGTAACAACCGATGGATTTTCCTTTAGTTTCTTTCATTTTCATTCCGTCTAATAATGGAAACTCGCAGAATGTCCGTGGCAACAGAGCATCCTCATCATTCCCATACCTCAAACAGCTGCTGCTCCTGCCATGTGGTGGAAATGAGTGTTTCCTCCTTGACTTATGCAAAGACAACAAGCCTGAAACAGTTGCTTAAGCAAATTCTGCACTTTGCATTAGACAGTAACTACACTAGGATGATCCTGCTAGGCCTTGTAAGTGTTGCATGCTAATCAAGTCACTAGTCTACACAACACTAGTCCTGCAAAGACTTACGTTAGAATTACTGTATGATAAACACCTTCCTGGAGCTGTCGATCGTACATTGACGAGCTGATCGATGTAGGTGATATAATCCTTGTCGTTTCACAGCTTTTTTGTCACAGCTCAAGTCTCCCTTCGGCTTATACTGGAGCTTATATTGTGCTTGTTGGAAGAAATGTTCGTGCTTAAACCGTGTGAGCTGGCCGTCTCACACGGTGGGTCCAAGTCAGATTCCGCACTCGAAACGATGCAAACAGACCAACTAGCAAAGCACGGCTGCAGAACGCATGCATTAAGGGGACTGATGTGACAGATGTGTAATGTCTGACTCAGTTCAGTGAAAGTCTCCATATTTCAAGGATGAAATCAAGTGTAATACTCATTAAGGTACTGACACCAGTGACTTGAAATGGTACTTTGCTTTGTAGCCCTTTGTACCCTGTTGACACAATAAAGAAGTAACCGAACAGATCCAGTTATTCAGAGTCATGATTTTAATACATACAGCAACAGCACAGTTTATACATGAACGCTTTACACACAATACTTATGACCAAAAAATGGAAGGAAATGATTTCACATTAAAGTACATTCTTGTTTACAAAAAAAAAAAACATATAAATTACAATAGAAACAATAAATAATACTGACGATCTTTAAAAAATTTGAAAAAAAAATCAGGATTCTGCTGAAGTTGGAAAGAAGCACTGAAACGGAAGGTATTGCTATATCGTACAGGTTTAAAACAACCTCTCGAAAAACACATGCGACACCTATTATCCACATGTGACATTATAAAGAAATATAAAAACGTCTGGACTTTACATTAACGTCACATTTAAGACACTGATCAGTTGGCATTGTCACAATTATTGATACTATATTGCTTGGTCTAGTAGGCACAACTTCACACGAGCTATGTTTCCATTACTATCGTCCCATAAACACACAGACACTTTATGAAATGATGTTTCCATTTAAGAACCTATGAGTGGAAAGGAGATAGTTAAAGAGTGGTTTTACACAGATCTCTCTCTAGATTCTACTGTCAGAGCCTTAAACTGGATTTTTTAACTCAGCATATTGATTGGACTATATAGATGCTGTTATATACTTACTATATACATCAGGGGCCATATTACAGAAAATCTGAGATCATATCTGCTTTATTGTCATGGCAACTTTGGTTAAGACTGAATTTAGGACAGAAGCCATTATAGAACAACAGTTAGTCTTAAGTCTATAATCTTCTCTTATTTCCAAATAAGAAAACAAACATCCTAAGTTGCCAAAATAACCTTAATATTGTCTTAACTTTAAGATGAACCCCAGAGCGTCTTACCTTCTGTTTAACCATCTGTTTCTGTTGTTTTATGCAGCTCAGTTCACTATAACCAGCATAATGACGGCACATTTATCTACACTGACAACTGAGTTTTTAAAACCCCAGACGCTGCAGACTCGATCTCCACCGCCCCTCTGATCACCTTCGTGTGTTAATGTTGATGATGAAATATTACAGTGATGGAGTAACGTTAGCGCGCTCGGCTAAAGCGTTTGGGAAATGGAGACTGAAACTGTGGAGCGGCGACGCTCTGATAAACAGCAGGGGGCGCTCTCACAATACTCTCAACTCTCAGTTTATCACGCTTAATTTTATTAGACCTTTTTTACATCAGTAACGGTAGCTAACGTTAGCTGTCTGGCTAACTAATTTGATTACATATGTTTCAGCTGTGCGGGTAGGGTCGGTTGCTAGGTAACAGACACGACAGTTGATTGTCGACTTCAGTCGAGTAAGATTTCCTAACTTGAGATAAGAAAAGATGCTGTAAGATAAGATTCTTAAATTAAGGTCAGATTTGCTTCTGTAGTACAAATTAGTGAAAAACCCTCTCTCACCCTATCTCGACCGGTCAGATCTTCAGTTAAGACAAAAAGATAGCAGGTTTCTGTAACACGGCCCCTGGTCTGTGAGCAAAGTAACCCTAAAGCCCCAGTTCAGTGAGTCTGATGTTGGATAACATTTGGTACGTCAGCTCATCGGGTTCTGTACCACACTGAGTTTCAACCTCTTACAGCTTAAAGCAACATGACCACACTAAAGGAAACAGTGATCAACAAGTAAACATCGTTCTCAGGGTTAACATGGAAGCAGTGAGGCGACGTCTGTGCTGCACACGGTTCGTGTTGAAGAGGTAGCTGCCACGTTTTTCACAGCACACAGTACATTTTACCTTTATAAACTGATGAATAACCGTTGCATCTCTATTGCTTAGTTACAGTATGAGGAACAAAATCCCACGATTAGTCTGTAAGAGGTTTTAAAGGGTGTGTTACACCGGTCAGGCATAACATTATGACCACCTCCTTGTTTCTACGCTCATTGTCCATTTTATCAGCTCCACTTACTATATAGGTGCACTTTGTAGTTCTACAGTTACAGACTGTAGTCCATCTGTTTCTCTGATACTTTGTTAACCCCCTTTTACCCTGTTCTTCAGTGGTCAGGACCCCCATGGACCCTCACAGAGCAGGTACTATTTGGGTGGTGGATCATTCTCAGCACTGCAGTAACACTGACGTGGTGGTGGAGTGTTAGTGTGTGTTGTGCTGGTCTGAGTGGATCAGACACAGCAGTGCTGCTGGAGTTTTTAAACACCTCAGTGTCGCTGCTGGACTGAGAATAGTCCACCAACCAAAAACATCTAGCCAACAGCGTCCTGTGGGCAGCGTCCTGTGACCACTGATGAAGGACTAGAGGATGACCAACACAAACTGTGCAGCAGCAGATGAGCTATCGTCTCTGACTTTACATCTACAAGGTGGACCGACAAGGTAGGAGTGTGTAATAGAGTGGACAGTGAGTGGACACTGTTTAAAAACACAGCAGCACTGCTGTGTCTGATCCACTCAGACCAGCACAACACACACTAACACACCACCACGTCAGTGTTACTGCAGTGCTGAGAATGATCCACCACCCAAATAGTACCTGCTCTGTGAGGGTCCATGGGGGTCCTGACCACTGAAGAACAGGGTAAAAGGGGGCTAACAAAGTATCAGAGAAACAGATGGACTACAGTCTGTAACTGTAGAACTACAAAGTGCACCTATATAGTAAGTGGAGCTGATAAAATGGACAATGAGCGTAGAAACAAGGAGGTGGTCATAATGTTATGCCTGATCGGTGTGTGTGTGAGGGGGCTAAACCAACATGTCAGGAGCTCATCATTCACCTTACTCCTCTCACATAAATAACTCATCCTGTTTATGTCCACATTTAAAGCTCTTCAAAGGTGGCAACATGGTTTACTGCGGTCAGAGAAAAGAAGAGATGCTCTGAAGTCTGCCCACGGCTTTAAGGGTACTCTTCTCGTGTGTGCTTGTGCATGTTTAAGAGTAAGAGAGAGTGTGGGTGAAAAAGAGAGAAGGAGCTCTATAGGTGTGTGTCTGTAAACATAGTATGTTCTTTCTTTACTGAGCTGAAGCCCTTAACCGTTTCCGCAAATTCCTCGTCTCCCACGTACTGCAACACAAAGAACGTGAGGGTGAGCACTCAGATTACATGGTATGGAAAAAAGTACAAGTATTGGGATTATATTGCTGAATACAGCGGCTGTAATATGACATTAACGTACCCAAAACATTAAAAGTCAGGGGTGTGAAATGATTAAAATAATTTTAATATATTTTGTGTTGGCTGCCGTTTAATAAAAGCAATGATCCACTCGAGGCAGTGGGGTACGGCGACTTTATCACGGGGAAGGGAGTGACCCACAGCCTCTCGTGGCTTACTGCTTTATTATATACTGTATATGACTAGTGGCAGATAAATAGAATCTGCTCTAGTTAGAAGGCGAACAGTTCACTTATCATAATATCTGTGCATTAAATCAACAAAACCCCCGTCTCTTTTTCTTCAATCCACATACATACAGATCTGTCTCACCATGCCGCTGTCGGTGCCCTGCAGGTCGGGGTCCCAAGTCAGGCCTGCCAGAGATTTCTTATCGGTCGTGTCGAGGAGCTGACTGACACTTCGGTGCAGGGAATTCTGGGAGTATGCGTGGCTCAGCTGGCTCTGGCTGGGCGCACGCAACACAGACATGGTGGTCTGGTAGCTGTGATTGCTGATGCGGGAGCCGGGACCGCCAATCTTAGTGTCAGTCAGACCCTGAGAGACAACATACACAGTCAAAATGAAGCTTTCCCAGCTTACCTGAGACCCAGCACAGCCAACAGCGTCACTAAACTCTCTCCACATTACTCAGTGTGTTTACAGGCACATTAATAACATGATCACTGTCCGATTTCATCAGCTAACAGGTTATTTAGGTGTTCAACAGATTTCATGAATTCTGGTAAACAGGTTATCCAGCAAATGTGTACCATTAATCCAATGGAGGTAATATAGTGGAAGAACTTAAACTGCCCTGCTTTTTCTTCTCCACTATGAATGTGTTAAAACTGATCCAGATGGAGTTTTCCTAACCATGCCTTACTGCGAGGGAGCTTTGAAACACTTCAGATCTGGTTCTGGCACGGCTGTGAACAAGCCTGGCCCAGTAAGTTTCTTTAGAACAGATCATGAGTGACTGTTTACATCTAAATGGTTTGATTATGCAGACATTTTGAAAAATCTGTTCCGCGTGACGTACATGTAAACACACTCGTTACATCCATGCAGAAGGAAACAGCGAAACAGATCATGAGAAACTGAAAAGCGAGCAGAATCAACCTGAGATGATTAAAGCTGCCCAACAAGGTTTTGGTCCATCAAGAGAAAAGTGGTGCCACAGAGCAAAAAGGTCACCAAAAATCATAATCGTCACTGTCCAAAGAAAAACAGGTATCTCCAAAATAGCTTTACAGGAGAGAGTAAAAACCCTCTTACCTTTCAGTGTTAGTCAATGTAAAGAGATGTTATTCTGAGTGATTTTTGAGCATTTCTATTGGTCCATTCATTATGAAATTATCAGGACAGCTGTTGTGTTGAAATGATATAGAAAGGTAAAATTGGACAAAAATACATGGTACATGGTTTTCTTTGGAATGACGATATACTTCTGCGTTTTATGCCATCAGCAACAAGCTGTGCTGTACTGTAACACCTCTCCTGACTCATCTGACTGATTTAAACAATGCTCAGTTCTCCTAGGCTTAAGGCTACAGCCCCATCTGCTGGACAAAAACTGCTGTGCAGCTATATTTTACATATAATGGCAAACCTTCAGTTTGAGAGAGCAGAGGCAGTTTTTGCACTAGGCAAAGGCAGGTGGTCACCTGGGGCCCCCATGAAAATACAAATCACATACACTGTATGCCCTGATGTTAAATAACCAATTCCAATACATATATATATATATATATATATAAACACTACATGGATAAAAGTTTTGGGACACACCTCAATCACTGAACTCAGGTGTTTCATTCAGTCTCATTGCCACAGGTGTATAAAATCAATCACCTAGCCATGCAGCCTGCCTTCACACACATTAGTGAAAGAACGAGTCGCTCTAAAGAGCTCACTGAATTCGAGTGTGGTGCTGTGACAGGATTCCACTGCAACAACATGTCAGTTCATGAAATTTCTTCCCTCCTAGATTTTCTACGATAAACCGTGAGTGTATTATTGAAAAGTGGAAGTGTTTAGGAACCACAGTAACTCAGCCACGAAGTGTCAGACCATGTAAAGTTACAGAGCGGGTCGCCGAGCTCTGAGGAGCACAGAGCATAAAAGAGACCAACGTCTGCTGATCAATAACTGCAGAATTCAAACCTCCTCTGGCATCAACATCAGCACTAATACTGTGGAGTTTCATAGCAGGGTTTCCATGGCTGAGCAGCTGCATGCAGCCTTACATCACCAAGCACAATGCCAAGCGTCGGATGGAGTGCAGTAAAGCGCCGCCACTGGACTCTGGAGCAGTGGAAACGTATTGTGATGAATCAGCTTCTCTATCTGTCAGTCTGATGGACGAGTCTGGGTTTGGCGAATGCCAGGAGAACGTTACCTGCCTGACTGCACTGTGCCAGCTGTAGAGTTTGGTGGAGGAGGGATGATGATATGGGGCTGTTTTTCAGGGGTTGGTCTAGAACCCTTAGTTCCAGTGAAGGGGAATCTTAATGCTTCATTCTGGACAACTGTACACTTCCAACTTTGTGGAACAGTTTGGGGAAGAACCTTTCCTGTTCCAGCATGACTGAGCCCCAGAGCACAAAAGCAGCTCCATAAAGGCCTGACTGGGTGAGTTTGGTGTGGAAGAACTTGACTGACCCTCACAGAGCCCTGACCTCAACCCCATCCAACACCTTTGGGATGAACTAGAATGGAGAGTGTGAGCCAGACCCTCTCGTCCAACATCAGTGTCTGACCTCACAAATGCTCTTCTGGATGAATGGGCAGAAATTCCCACAGACTCTCCAACATCTTGTAGAAGCTTCCCAGAAGAGTGGAAGCTGTTAGAGCTGCAAAGGGGACCAGCTCCATATTAATGGCTGTGGATTTAGAATGGGATTCATAAAAGGTCCTGTGGGTGTGATGTGTGGGTGTCCCAATACTTTTGCCCCTATACTATATATATATATATATATATTAATAAAAATAATAAAATCAGTGAAACCAATTTTTCTTATGGAAACTAAAATGCAAAAACAAGCTGTTATGAATTAACGTATTCTGTGAAAATCATTTACATAAATTTGTCGATTCTGCCCGCAAGTTTAGCCCCGCCCACTCATGCTAAAGTTATAAAGAGTGTTTCAACTTGGACTGTTTTTTCAAATGAAGCGCAATACAGGACAGCCAATCAGAGCAGTGCTCATTTACATATGAGAATATGTACGGGATAAAGAGAGACTGGAAAAATGGTCATCTTGAAATAAATTATGACTGTTTTTGGTACACTGTGTCCTCAGGGACAATGATGACATACAGGGAAAGTGTAGTATATGGGCCCTTTACATCTCATAATGAATTATTAGATATATCTTCTAGATTTAAGACAATTTCACTTGCCAAGATATTTTTTGAACTGTAGACTCTGGAGATTATTTAAAAATGTGCACCCAGGGGCCCCCCGTTCCTGACTTTTGCCTAGAACCACAAAATCGTTTAATCCGCCCCTATTGAGAGGACCATGAATGACATACACAGCATCATTTCAACCTGAAAAGTGAGTTTGAAAAAGCCCAAACGTGCATGCACACACACAAAGCAACTAAAATTGGAAAAGCAAGCCATTTCATAATAAAGGCAATCCAAAAAAAAAAAAAAGTCAGAAATTAAAGAAACTAATTCAGTCAAGCGGTCGGCTCTGTCTTTGTAGGAAAGAGCCGATGAGAACGCTGCGGTGGGCGCTGTACCTCAGTGTGCATGGTAAACCCCTTTAAGGTTACGCTGCTGGACGAGTCCGGCACACTGTCGAACTGCGAGGAGAGAGTGAGGCGTGAGCAGAGAGAAAGAGGGAGAGAAGGAGTGCAGGGTGAGTGCTTACCATTCCTCCATCAGTCTGAAGGAGAGCAGTGGAAGCATGGTTAGAGCACAGCTCAGAGCACGGCCTCTGCAGCGCCGCGCAGGCAGCCAGCCGGTACAGGAGGAACAGGGAAAAACGTTTAAAGAGAGAGGAATTACAGGAAGAGAGAGGACATGCTAGACTATCTTAGCAGCCAGTCTTGTTTACTTATGTATTCAGGGCTCGTGTACTTGCTCATTGCTTTCTATAATACATCCACAAGGTGGCAGCATTAACAAGATAAAACAAATGCATACCAGCACCCTCTTGTGGAAATTTGACACAAGTACAAGTGCTCTGGGAATTCAGTAGGGATGATGAAAAGAGGGAGCACAGAACAGATGCAGAGTTTGTTTTCCAAAGCAACTGAAATACCTTTTAACTACAGATTCATGACACAATGAGGTCGTTTAAACTAGTGGTGTACAAGTATGTCTCACCTACCAGCATCTCGCTGCTGTCGGAGCAAAACCTCGTATCTCCAAAATGGTAACTTTACAGGAGAAGGAAAAAACATACTTTACTCTTAATGTAAGTCAATGGAACCAGACTTCTTTCCAAGTCATTTCGGGCCGTTTCTTTTGATCCATCTTTCATTTAATTTACACAGAATGTGAAGAACAACAGGCTTTTTCAAATTATGTCAAAAACTGGAAATGGACAAAAATGGAGATACGAGGTTTTCTTCCGACAGCATCTGCTCTTCAGTAAATAAATGTTATTGGTTGCCATTTAATATCTGATGCATATTTGTTAATTACACCAGTGGTTCCCAGTGCTGCTCCTGGAAAACCCCTGCGCTGTGTTTTAGTATTTTTCCTGCTCTAACAATCCTGAAGCTAATTAACAAGCCGTACTTGAGTTGAATTGAATGTGCAGGGAAAACACTAAACCGGTGGTCCTCCAGGACCAGAGTGGGGACCTTAGAACATAGAAATGTTTTCATTTAGCATTGTTTGTATTATTTGTGTTATTAGCCATAGAGCCATTCACTCCATAACACTGATCTACTGAAATGGGTTAAAGTATTGACTGTATGAGCTCTGAAAACGGGCGACACTAATCTGGATGATGGTTGATTTGGACACGTTTGTAAAGTCGGAAAACTGTCACATCACTAAATCCTAATTACAGATGTGACTGGGGGTCACTAGCAACTGGTAAATCTGAGCCTTGTTTATATGGATCAATGGCATTGAAGTGCTTTTTTCCAGATCAAATAATTGAATAAATCCATGACATATTACAATATTCTGTGATGCTGCTTTTAAGCAAATACATTTTCAATGCATCAAAGTAGCATCTACTTAAATCCCAAGTCTAAACATGCCAGGTGGGCGGCTGTCCATCCACACACGCATATAAAGCCATATAAAACGGTAAATAAAATAGTTTGGTGTGATTTTATGTTTCTATGTAACCTTTAAAAGCATTACATGCTGCAAAGTAGGGAAGCGTTAAAAGTCACTAAAAAACTTTTGTCAAAGTCAGGTGGTGTGAAACCAGGAAAACCATGAATGTGTGATTATTATGGTAATGTTTATTTACGTATAAACTTTAGTTCAAGGACAAAGCTCTGAAAAAACTAGTTTATAACTTCGAATTTAACCAGTTTAAAAATTTAAAATATAATCAGTTTTATCAATGTCTAGTTTCACCACATTTTCAGGGTCGTAAAATTAATAATCTTGGTTAAAAAAAATGTATACCATTATAAAAGCTATTAAACAAATATCAATGCATTGATTCTTCCAAAAATCATATCCTTTTTTAACAATGCTTTTTAAAAATCATTTTAAAAGCTTTATTTGTTACTGATCCAAATGCCAAGATGGACCAGTACCAGCTTGTTTTACTGTGTTTGTAAAGTATCAGACATTATAACAGACTGAAACTCATAAACTTGCTCGTGGGTATATTTTGTTTTTTCCATCTGATTTTACATGTTTAAATCGTAAGGCAAATTATTCAGTAACTGCACAAAATAAATTTTCACAGAACATGTGTTTTATGATCACACATATTGCTATATGCTTACAATTTACTGCTGAAAGCCAAAAATCTGAGACGCTCTTTGTATTATTTTATAAACATAGTTTTTACAGAGCAGATCACTGAAGAGACGCCATCTGTTTATAGTTTATAGCCCAGATTTGTGGAAAAATGGGTCGACTTTCAGTAGAAAAAAAAATGGTGAGTTCAGCTTCTTTTATTATAAGGGTTTAAAATTACATCACCATCTATTAGACTGGAACGAAGACAGTTACAGCCTCATACGACCCCCACCTTTAGAATGTAGCTTATGAAATATGAAAGTTATGAAATTAAGAATATGACGAAGTGCGTTTAGGAACCAAAAAAGGCTAAACTCAGATATTCACAAGTTTCTGAGTTCACAAGGACCATCACAACTCAAAAGGTTAAAATTAGTGCTGCATCTGCAATCTCACCAAGTACGAGTCACTAGGTGGGTATTTGGGGCTTCTCCGCTGCAGAGGCTGAAGTGGGGGTCTCTCTCTGATGAAGGGGGGTTTGTTGAGGGCTCTGCGCAAGACCAGGCCCAGCAGCAGAGCCATCAGCAGCAGCCCCACGAAGGCCATGAGGAGGATAAACCACAGCTCAGTGTAGAACCTGTAACCAGCCCCATACAACCCTGTTTTACCACCTGACGTGGCTTCCACAGCATCTGTTTGGGGGGAGAATGTTTCGTTTAGACATTCAGTTGAGATTTTATATAAACTCTTCCACATCTAGTTTGGAATATACTGAAGAAGAAGTGGAAAAACCTTGGACAATAGGAGACATTAGCATATTATTTATAAATTAGTAAGTTACCCCGTGATTAGGAACGTCTTAGACTGGGAGCAAACTAAAGATACATACAGAAATCCTGTCTGTTCACCATGTACCTTTACATTTATTAGGAATTTATGTCTGTGCTCGGTCGGATCTGGGAACGCTAAGGCCTAATCGGTTGTGTAGTTCTGAACGTCTATCATAAAATAGCTATTGGTAGTAACATCAACTTTATTTCATCTTTTTCCACCAAGCAACAGTAGCGAAGTTTACATCCACATACTTATGTGTATTTTGATATATCAAATAAAAAAGGGTAGATGGAAATGGCAAATATCCAAAGAAATCACCAAAATTTGCATATAATACAGATATAATCACATCAGAAAAGCATTTGATGAATAAATAATTATAAATGCAAATACAACCCCATTTCCCAAAAAAGTTGGGACGCTGTGCA